GTGATGCTTCATCTCTGCTTTTCATTTCCTCTTATGAGCTGCACAGATTGTGTCCACAGGGTAATCTTGGATGCATACTTTTGAACATATGGTATCAAGTAACTTTGCATGTTGTAGCAACTGGAAGAAACGACATATGATGAAAATGTAGTACATCTTCACAGTTCATCTTAAAGCAGACACACTCCTCCTATGTATAATGTAAATATGACCCTTAGTCATTATCATACAATTAGAGACACGTGCCATGTTGAATATGTAAATGGAAGTTTCTTAAAACGGCATGTCCATAAATAATAAAAAGATAAAAGAAAAAACAGCACCTCTCATGCATCTCGAACTGGATTTAGCAGTTGTGAGCATACTGTGCCTCATCTGTCTCTGCACCTCAGCATCAAGCACTGCCAGACAACACATTTCATTTCTCTGCAGAAGTAATCCCTGCTGGCATTCACAGGTCACCAGGAGTGAACACTCTGTTCTGTTATTCCTTATCTCACACATTGTTGTTTCTAGGAGGGGAAGAAAAAATCCCTCCTGGCCTCATCCACCACCTACCGCTGTCTACCGTCCAGAATCAGGGATGCAGCTTCTGTGCCATCTGTTTTCTATTGAATGAGAAATCTTTCGGCGAGCAGAGTGGATAGAAAGGAGGAGAAAAGAGACGTGAGGACAAAGGGAGAAATAGGGCATAGAAACTGCAACAAAATCAAAGTAAGCAGGGAGAGGAGGAACATTTTTCAAGACTGGTCTATCCAGGCTTTGATGTTGTGAAAAATGGGAGCTCTCAGCTTTACTTTTCTTCAGAGACTTTATTTCCACACACACTTTTGGGAGGCCTGAGATAATAATGTCAGCCTCGACTCTTTCGCCTTGTTTGCCAAAATGAGTAGAGCTCAGTACTCTACACTCTTATCTATGACACTTACACTCCATGTTTGTGTTGCTTAAACCTGTTTAATGGCTTAAAATAAAATATGGCCGGGAAAACCAAAGAACCAAAACAACCACACATTTATTTTATTTGTTGAATATATTATTTTATTTTAACATCATCATCATAGTTTAACTTTTAATTTTCCCTTCATTCATTTAAAATGATCACCTCTGAATGTACACATACTGCAAACTGTCAAAAATATACAAACAAATGCAGGCTTGTGCTATAGTCTGGTCAAATGTCTAAAAAACAGTGGCACTGGGGAGAGAGAAAGAGAGATTGACAGAGAGAGATAGAGGGAGAATAAAAGTAGGCAGGAGGGAGAGTACAAGAGAGTAAAGAGAGAGAGAGTGAGAGAGAGACATTGAAACCGGTAAAGACATGCACAGCATCATTGTGAGCACCGGTTACAGGTATCCAGGTGCGCGGTACTTCCGTGGGATCCTCGTGGAAAAGTACATACATTTCATCATCTGACAGTGCGGCACAAAATGCCCGTCACATATCAAATCAAAATCAAAATGTTGCTCATTAATGGAACTGTTAGGCACATCATTGTTTTTTATGGTTTTACATTTTCTGGAAAAATCTGACTTACTGTAATGTAGAAATGCTTAAACCAAAAACAATAAAAAGTAAACATACAATTAAAAAAAAAAAAAAAAAAACTTTCAAAAGTCATTTGGAATCACTGTCTTGTTAGTAACTCAACATTATTTGTGTGTGTGTGTGTGTGTGTGTGGGGGGGTGTATCTAGGTGTGTTCACAATTGGGTGCATTTCTGTAGAACCAAGTGGATATGTGAGTGAGTACTTGAGGTGTTTGTGGGTAGTGGCTGTGATTGGCTGACAGCCGTCCAATCAGATGCTCAGGTCTTTGGGGTTGTCCTTGTAGGTCTTCTTGGGCTCGGGGAGGGCGGATGAGCGGCTGCTGTCGGTCTTCAGCGTGCTGTAGTACTCTCTCACCTTAGCCGCTACGAAATTGTCATCGTCCTCTTCGTCCTCCGAGTCGTCCCGCTTGAAGCTCCTGACCGGGGAGATGTCCCGTCCCAGGCTGCGGGCTCGGTACTGTGGCTCGGGGGGTGCTGTCGCGGCTGGCGAAGCGCCCTTCGTCCCTCACCGTCCTCATCAGGTGAGCGGCCCCTCAGCAGCGAGCTGTAACCTCTTGTAGCCGAATCTGAGTCGGGGGTGCGCACTCTGGGCAAGGTGGCGTCTCTCTGGCTGCGCGATGCGGCCAGGTCCCTCAGCAGGCTGTCCCCCTTGTAGATTCTCTCCATGGAGGAGGCCTTCCTCAGCAGACTGTCCTCCCCGTACAGGGCGCCCCTCCCTAATTGAAAAGTGGGCCAAAAAAAGCCTCTGATATGTTTACTGTTTGTGCTGTGATGCTTCATCTCTGCTTTTCATTTCCTCTTATGAGCTGCCACAGATTGTGTCCACAGGGGTAATCTTGGATGCATACTTTTGCACATATGGTATCAAGTAACTTTGCATGTTTGTAGCAACTGGAAGAAACGACATATGATGAAACTTGTAGTACCTCTTCCACAGTCATCTTTAAAGCAGACAACCACTCCTCCTATGTATAATGTAAATATGACCTATTGTCATATTACTACAATTAGAGACACGTGCCATGTTGAATATGTAAATGGAAGTTTCTTAAAACGGCATGTCCATAAATAATAAAAAGATAAAAGAAAAAACAGCACCTCTCATGCATCTCGAACTGGATTTAGCAGTTGTGAGCATACTGTGCCTCATCTGTCTCTGCACCTCAGCATCAAGCACTGCCAGACAACACATTTCATTTCTCTGCAGAAGTAAATCCCTGCTGGCATTCACAGGTCACCAGGAGTGAACACTCTGTTCTGTTATTCTCTTATCTCACACCTTGTTGTTTCTAGGAGGGGAAAAGAAAAATCCCTCCCTTGCCTCATCCACCACCTACCGCTGTCCACCGTCCAGAATCAGGGATGCAGCTTCTGTGCCATCTGTTTTCTATTGAATGAAGAAATCTTTCGGCGCGCAGAGGTGGATAGAAAGTGAGGAGGAAAAGAGACGTGAGGACAAAGGGAGAAATAGGGCATAGAAACTGCAACAAAATCAAAGTAAGCAGGGAGAGAGGAACATTTTTCAAGACTGGTCTATCCAGGCTTTGATGTTGTGAAAAATGGGAGCTCTCAGCTTTACTTTTCTTCAGAGACTTTATTTCCACACACACTTTTGGGAGGCCGGAGATAATAATGTCAGCCTCGACTCTTTCGCCTTGTTTGCCAAAATGAGTAGAGCTCAGTACTCTACACTCTTATCTATGACACTTACACTCCATGTTTGTGTTGCTTAAACCTGTTTAATGGCTTAAAATAAAATATGGCCGGGAAAACCAAAGAACCAAAACAACCACCACATTTATTTATTTGTTGAATATATTATTTTATTTTAACATCATCATCATAGTTTAACTTTTAATTTTCCCTTCATTCATTTAAAATGATCACCTCTGAATGTACACATACTGCAAACTGTCAAAAATATACAAACAAATGCAGGCTTGTGCTATAGTCTGGTCAAATGTCTAAAAAACAGTGGCACTGGGGAGAGAGAAAGAGAGATTGACAGAGAGAGATAGAGGGAGAATAAAAGTAGGCAGGAGGGAGAGTACAAGAGAGTAAAGAGAGAGAGAGTGAGAGAGAGACATTGAAACCGGTAAAGACATGCACAGCATCATTGTGAGCACCGGTTACAGGTATCCAGGTGCGCGGTACTTCCGTGGGATCCTCGTGGAAAAGTACATACATTTCATCATCTGACAGTGCGGCACAAAATGCCCGTCACATATCAAATCAAAATCAAAATGTTGCTCATTAATGGAACTGTTAGGCACATCATTGTTTTTTATGGTTTTACATTTTCTGGAAAAATCTGACTTACTGTAAATGTAGAATGCTTAAACCAAAAACAATAAAAAGTAAACATACAATTAAAAAAGAAAAAAAAAACTTTCAAAAGTCATTTTGGGAATCACTGTCTTGTTAGTAACTCAACATTATTTGTGTGTGTGGTGTGTTGTGTGTGGGGGGTGTATCTAGGTGTGTTCACAATTGGGTGCATTTTCTGTAGAACCAAGTGGATATGTGAGTGAGTACTTGAGGTGTTTGTGGGTAGTGGCTTGTGATTGGCTGACAGCCGTCCAATCAGATGCTCAGGTCTTTGGGGTTGTCCTTGTAGGTCTTCTTGGGCTCGGGGAGGGCGGCAATGAGCGGCTGCTGTCGGTCTTCAGCGTGCTGTAGTACTCTCTCACCTTAGCCGCTACGAAATTGTCATCGTCCTCTTCGTCCTCCGAGTCGTCCCGCTTGAAGCTCCTGACCGGGAGATGTCCCGTCCCAGGCTGCGGGCTTCGGTACTGTGGCTCGGGGGTGCTGTCGCGGCTGGCGAAGCGCCCGTCGTCCCTCACCGTCCTCTCAGGTGAGCGGCCCCTCAGCAGCGAGCTGTACCTCTTGTAGGCCGAATCTGAGTCGGGGGTGCGCACTCTGGGGCAAGGTGGCTTCGCTCTCTGGCTTGCGCGATGCGGCCAGGTCCCTCAGCAGGCTGTCCCCCTTGTAGATTCTCTCCATGGAGGAGGCCTTCCTCAGCAGACTGTCCTCCCCGTACAGGCGCCCCTCCCTGCGCAGCGGTGGCAGCGTGGCCTCCCTGTTCAGGCGGTCCATGGCTGGGGACTCACGGAGAAAGCTGTCCTCGAACGGCAGGCTGAGTTCAGAAGTCCTAGCAGGTTCCTTCAATACGGCCTCTACTCCGTTGGGCTTCTCGTTGACGCGCCTCTGTCTCTCAGGGGAGGCGTTGCGGCGGTAAGGGTCTGAGGAATGGTATTGGCGTCTGGTGGGGGAGTGGTGCAGAGAGCGGTGGGGAGACCTGTGTTGGCGGGGTGAGCGGTGTGGAGAGTGATGAGGTGAGCGGTAAGGAGAGCGGTGGGGCGAGCGGTGGGGCGAGCGGTGATTGGAGGGCTGACCAGTGCGTCTGTCGGGGGAGCGGCCGCTGCGTTGTCCCCCACGACGGGTGTCCAGCGTGTTCTCTGCACTGCGTGACCGGCTGTGCACCTTGTCAGGCGAGCGGTGGCGGCTACGGTGTTTCCCGTTGGAATGGTGCCGGTGGCCGTCGCTTCCCTTGTCATCTTTCTTCTTTAACAACTTGATGCCCTTGGACTTTTTCCCCTTGGTCTTTACTGTGCTGGTTTTCTTGTTGGGGGAGCGGTGGCGGTGGTTGGAGGGGCGGGTCGGCTCCTTCTTGCTCCGGGATGGTTGAGGGGGTTCTGGTGGGTAGCTGGACTCTGATGGAGCGTTGGTCAGGGCGCTCACTTCCGCAGCGTTTTGTAACCCTGAGGATGGGTAGGCTGTGATGACGTCGTCGGGGCCGTTGACTGCAACACAATGTGACATACAAACGAGGGCAAGGGGATCAAACATGCATCTTTAAAATGTTCTGCTTTCACATAAACCATGCTGAACTACTCAGACATGAAGCTGAGAACATTTCCAATGGAAGCCATTCTGATGTTAATGCCAGCAAAGATGGCTCGTTGTTAGATGGCACAGCAACAGCCGATGGTAAACACATTAGTGTAGCTTACACATGAGAATAAAAGGCAGTGACACAAAGACAGCCAGTGACTTATCACCCAAAACAAACCTGTTCCCAGGTCTACCTGGGGTTGCCTCTCTGAGAATGGGACTTGGCAGGTTGGGCGGCCGACCTGGAGGTTGCTTACATTCAGAGTCAATGTACTGTGTGTCGATGATGCTGCTGCTGCTTGATGACTGATTAGCCATGCTCTTTCATGCGCTGTCATGATGCCTTAGATACTATGTAAATGAATAAAGCAAATAAAACGCTCAAGACGAGATCTAAAACCTACTGCTGTACTGCAGCATGCAGTTTAAGTGGCATTTGCCTAAGACGAGAAGAATTGAATGTTCTGCACAATTTTTTCTATTTGGCCTTTGAGGCAAGTTCATCCACTATAGCAACTACAATATCTACATATGCAGCCACCACGATGCTTTATCAGATTTAATAGATAGATCTTCAGCTGCAGAAATACAACTAACAACTAAATGGCAAAGAGGATGTTCTTTTGATGATCTATACAAATCGAAATAATAAAAGACTAACATGCATTTCACCTTTGGACGAGTCGCCCAAATGTTAAATGCAACATATGCATGAAGAATCCATAACAGTGGCTACGGCAGCGGCGGTACTGGCGATGTGTTTTGGGTGGATGGATTTGTATGTATGGAGTAGAGCATGGGCATGGGTGAATTGAGGCCACACCACACAGATATTGGGATGGCGAAGCAGCGCAACAGAGAGAAAGAAAGACAGGAAGTGGGAGGGAGAGCCGGACGACAGGCGAGGACAGTTACAAACCGTGGTCTGATTCTGGAGGACAGAGGCCTCCCCCATCTTGTCATTTCTCATACATGCAGTGAGATGGGGAACAGCCATCCCTGAAGGAAGACAAGAGCCCAGCGCAATATAGGAGGATACAAAAAAAACAGGAAGAAAGAGAAGAGCAGAGGATTTAGATTGCTTGGAACCAACATGAAGGAAGAAAAAGGAGAATTATTTTGTTGTTTTTTCAATGAAAAAAAAGTGTTTATTTGATCATTGAGTCATTCAGATTAAAGAGACAGTCCAGGAAACTTGCCCAAACCCTTCAGTGGAAACCATCAGTTACAGAGAAAAAGTCACACACACACACACACACACACACACACACACACACACACAACACACACACACACACACACTACACACACACACACACACACACACACACACACACACACACACACACACACACACACACACAACACACACACACACACACACACACACACACACACACACACACACACACACACACACACACACACACACACACACACACACACACACACACACACACACACACACACACACACACACACAAAGAAATACAGACAGTGAGACTCACACCCACAACAAAAGCATATGAAGCAGTTTTACATTGCTGACAGAAATCAAAATAAAATACTGGCAAGACTGTCAAAGGTTGTGGCAACTAAAAGTACAAACAATGATCCAAAAATATACAAGTTCACATGATGTCATATCGGTGCAGGTTAAGACAGCACATTCTTAGCGCAAATAAAATTACATTGACAAACGCTTCAAGACAGGCAAACGTATCTCCACTCATAAAAAAGGTAACAAAAAGAAAGCATTTATGATGACTCGTGACTATCAATCCAAAACTGGTCAGTACGATAAAAAAAAGGAACATCCCATAAATATTATGGAAAATAGACAATAGAGGGGACAAAACCAAACAAATCCAATTTACACTTTTGACAAGTTCATGCAGCAATAGACTTTTTAACCATTAATATGTGGCTTCCATCATGGCTATGTACACGGAACAAAAATACTTGTAAAAATGCCTCTATTCTTTTCATCACTGTACAAAAGCGTTTATATAATTGGAGCGACTCTTTTTAAATGGGGATGGGTGGGGTTCCTATCGTCACAGCTTCTCAATGACATTAACAGTGGGTGCAAATAAAATCCATGGATAAGTGAGTAATGTCAAGCACAGTATAGGGAGATTTTCCTCTGTGAAAATGCATCAGAATCGCCTTTTTCTTCTCAATACAGTTCTTACTTAAAAACCCCCTCAAAGAGTTCAGTAGCTTACATTCACCTTCAATAAATATCATAAATACGCTTGTGTCACGTCCTAACCAAAGCTGCGAGATGTCCCATTTTAGCATGGGACGCAATGGATCAAGTTTTCTTTTCCTCTTTAATGCTAATTCTTAATGAGGAATTACAGCCCTCAATATCACTTCTTTCTCACAAAAACACTGATTTCTCATAACTCTGCTCATTCAAACTCTGTAAACAGTTTCTGTCTTTGTGTAGCACTGACATCACACCCACCACCTTTCGGAAAGAAGTCCCAGCAGAGTGCTTTTGCTCAGTGGCCAGAAGGTGAAAAGTGACAGCGGGATGACATGGAAACAGAGCAGGTGACAGCAGGAGAGGGCGACAGCACCCAGAGGAACAACCTCCATCCCTGCTCCCCCCCCCCCCCCCCTCCCTGAAAACAAATCCCAAAGCCCAGTAGTGACCTCCACCAGAGAGAGACCCAAGACCAAGCACCCCTCCCCCCTCCCTGGTGGGTTTGTCCCAGGGATGGGTGAAGGGTCCTGGGAGGGTGATAAAGTTCTTTCCCCTTTCGACCCACCACCGTCCGCTGGGTGTCTTAGGGCGTGAAGATGGGGGAGAACGGAATGTTTTCGTAGATAGACCCACCATATTCAGGCACAGAGCCATCACCCCTCTTGAGCACCAGATGGACGCGCCGGCCCCCGCTCTTGATGAGCTCGATGGCTCGCGCGTGCTTCATGCCCTTGGTGCTCTCGCCGTTGATCTCCAGGATTTCGTCGCCGACCTACGGAGGAAATAAAGAAGAGGGAAGAAGGAGAGGCAAAAGATGGGAGGCAGAGAAGAGTGACAGGTGAAGATGGAGGGGAGAGGAGTGACAGAGAAAGCCAGAAGAAGGAGAGGAGATAGCAGAGGAAGATAACAAGTGCCGGAGGGGAAGAAAGCACACGGGAGGAAAGATGAGAGGCAGGGAGGTTCAAAGGGAGTGAAGACAGCAGAAGGGAGGGAGAGGGAGGACAGATTGAGGAGAAGTTACATTTCAAATCCTAAATCGCACAACAGCAAAAACAATGTTCACTATATTGTCTATATGTAGGGGAAAAGTCAGCAACTGTGACTCCCAGAGAGGAGAACAAGAGAGGAATCAGGAGCCAGGAGAAACCCTTTCTGCTTCCCGCTCCTTTGCCTCCAGTTATCTGACAGTCTGCCCAGGAGACTCCTCTCTGGCAGAATATGGATCTCTCACTGACACCTCTCTGCCTCACAGAGCTGCTGCTAATCATATCTCTGCTAATAAGGTGCACAAACACACACGTATGTATTTATATACGAACGTGCTGATACATGCCCACCCCACACACTTCCTAACTGTTGCTAATAACATACATCAAAAGCTATTTTATGATATAGCTCACATGAGTAACTGCCAACAGGCTCTCTGCAGTAAACACATAAGGGGGTATCAATTAACCCTGTATTGTATATTAAATAAAGCAGCCCAGGGGAAATGCAATGAATCAATTCAAAGGTTAAATATCACCGTTTCGTGACAGCTTCTGTAGTGTATACATGCCACTTCAAGTGTTTATTCATTTGCAGATGGTGCAAAATGCAGCAGCACGGCTACTAACTGGCACACGCAAACACGAGCACATTTCCCCCATTTTATCTTCACTCCACTGGCTGCCCGTTCATTCGAGGATTCATTTTAAAACTCTTTTATTTACTTTTATAGCCCTCAATGGCCTGGCCCCGCCCTACCTCGCTGAGCTGATACACAGCTACACGCCCACTCGCACTCTCAGGTCAGCTGATCAGTTGCTCCTGAGGGTGCCAAAAACAAAGTCTAAGCGTAGAGGGGACCGTACTTTCTCTGCTGCCGCCCCTAAACTGTGGAACGACCTGCCCGTGTTAATCAGACAGGCTCCCACACTGTCTGCTTTTAAATCCCGTCTTAAAACCAACCTCTTCTCCTTGGCATTCGTAAACAAGTAGATTGTTGCTTTTATTTGCTTTCAGTCGTCTATTGTTTTTATTTTATGGCTGTTTTTTTTATTTTTACGTTTATTCTGGTTTGTTTTGTGTTGTATCTTTTATTTTAAATGTATTTATTTTATGTTTTGTGAGCTTATCTCTCTGTACAGCACTTTGGTCTGAAGGTTTTAAAGTGCTATATAAATAAAGTTGGATTGGATTAATGTGTATACTCTGTACACAGGTAAGCTCCATGAGTTGGCCTTGTTTTGGTATTGCACACACAATGAACCTGAAGCCTGGAGGGACCGTGTTTATCTTCAGTGGAGCATGGCTTGCAGTAATTGAGAGGAACATTGTGCACAAGTAATTATATTGATAGACAATATTATTCTGATGGCTGTTTGAGTCTATGAGGCAGTGATTACCAGCCCTCTTGTTAATCAACACAATCAACGGGCTTACACAGCACCTGAGTGGTGACTCATCATATCAGTATGAAAACATAGTCACAATCTATTCACTTTTGAGACAGCTCTGCCCAAACCCCACATCTCTAATTTGTTTTAGACAAACTGGAAGATTAAGTTTTCTTTTATGAGATGAGAATACTCCACAGCTTTTTAAGTTAAATAAACTATTAAAAAGCTATTCCATTATCTGACAAATGAACTGTTACAGAGCTATAAAACAAGGCAGTTTTGATCTAGCAAGAGGCAAATGTCTCTTGCACAGCTCATACACACTCGTCGTATTCATCATCCCCTTCTCACTGTTTCCAAACAATTGCAGTGATGACTGGTACGTACTGATTTCCTCACACATCATTACAACACATGGCAGGATATGGAAGTTAGAAGCTACTCAAATAGAGTACAATGAACTTCAACAGCCAGGAGGACTTGATATTTCATTTGAATAAGGTAAACTATCGAAATGGACAATGTTGGATCGAAAGGAAGCACCTTAATAAAACAGCAAATTAGTATCGCACTTCAACAGAGCTGGAAGACTTGAGAGTCGCATTAAACAAATATCTATGCAGCTGAGGCAGAGAGATCCTGACTTTTACTCAATATTAAGTGTCAAGCTCCAAAATTGCTATATCCTACAACTCAACAGCTGTTCCAACATTTACATTCAGCAGCACTCATTTGTAAAGCAGACCTTCCTTCATTAATTCATAGTCTTCAAGCCTGTTTTCCTAAATGTTAAAACTCTTCTAGAGGCATAAAAAACTGTTTCAGATTAAAAGAAGTAAAACATCCTATGACTGAATGATTCCCTTTTTTATATGAAGGAAAGCTTAAGCAAAGTATGTGGCATCTTCTATGTGTTTAAAAGTGGTCCTATGTTTGAAGTGTTTGCTGCTTTGGTGTGTGAAAGCTGTTGTACAGTGTGTGTGTCCTTACCCTCATCTTTCCGTTGCGGACGGCCGCTCCTTCCTCAGCTAGCCTCAGCACATACAGGTCCATGTTGTATTCTCTGCCCCCCCGCAGGCTGAAGCCAAAGCCTTTGTTGTCTCGGTCCAGGTCCACAGAGTAGAACTCAGAATCCTGATCGTGACGTGACCCCACACACACACACACACACACACACACACACACACACACACACACACACACACACACACACACACACACACACACACACACACACACACACACACACACACACACACACACACACACACACACACACACACACACACACACACACACACACACAACACACACACACACACACACCACACACACACACACACACACACACACACACACACACACACACACACACACACACACACACACACACACCACACACACACACACACCACACACCACACACACACACACACACACACACACACACACACACACACACACACACACACACACACACACACACACACACACACACACACACACACAGAGAGAGAAAGAAAGGGAGGGAGAAAGATACATTTGCATCAGCAGGATTTGTGATTCAGATTTGAAGTGTGTGTGTGTATATCCTTTGAAGTGGGCTTCTATTTCAGGAGCAGGGGACAAATGCCACCCTTCAGGAAAGTCACACCGATGTGCCAGACTGTGTGTGTGTGTGTGTGTGTGTGTGTGTGTGTGTGTGTGTGTGTGTGTGTGTGTGTGTGTGTGTGTAAGTACATGCATATGCTCATGTGTAAGGATGCTGAATTATTGATGCTCTGGGTGGACAAAGAGAGAGGGCAGAGACATAGAGCCAGAGAGAGAGAGCGAGAGAGAGAGAGAGAGAGGGGCCGGGCAGCGCGAGGACAGGCAGACAGCCCCATCAGCTCCTGTCTTCCCGCCCTCCTAATCTCCTCTGCGGGGCGATCAATGCTATCTGAGCGCGCCATCTCCACACCGGCAGATTAATGCAGCAGCGAACACGCTGGACTGAGGGTACCTTTGAAAGCTAACAGGCTTTCCTTCATGCAGATAACGCAGGTAGGTGGAGGAAAAAGGAATAATAAATAAATAACAATGCACTCTGCTCGTCCTTGGGAAGATGGGTGGGTGAATGCATGACAGGAGGGGGGAGGTTTGGGTGCAGGAACAGCTGAATGGATGTTTGAAAAGATAAATGTGGAGGTGGGTATTGAGCTGTGTGTGGTATGAAATGGACAGATGCATGAATGAAGCGACAGGGGAATGGATGTCCCAGTGTCCTTCCTTACCTGAGCTGAGACTTGTGTGGGGGGCTGCGGAGGAGGACCCTGTGGTGCTTTGAATTCAAACGACTCCTGTTTTGGCTTGGTGTTGTTCCTGCGGCAGGAAGAAAAAGCACTCAGTGTCAAATATTACAGATGTAATCGGTGATTTAAAGTGTCTCAGTCGCAGTTAATTGTGAATTGAATCAGCAGATTTTTGACACTGAAAAACAGCAAACTGCCTTTTTTTAAATAAATGGACTTGTTTTGTACAAATACTCTGTTTCCCAGTGTGCATCTTACCTGGCCTCAGGGGCAGCCTGTTGCTGAGGTGTGTGAGTGGTGGTAATAGTGGCGATCTTCTCCGCATTGGTCAACAAAGACGCATTTGATGACTCTGTGGAGGGTGAGAGAATCCACATTATTGCGTTCAGTGTCAATCCCTTTTTACACAGTTCAAAATCCTTTCTTCCTAATGAACATATAGAATATCTTCTACACTGAGAACATGTTATTGGATTCCCATACAGCTTCTTTTGTCATTCATATAACTTTATATAACAAATACTCCAATGGAAGTGTCTGTGGAGCTCAGAGTGTGATTACATCAATATTTCACATGAGGAGCATTTTCATTTTCAATGTTTTTACACTGGTGTAGAAACATTAGCAGAACCTATGGGGACTAGCAGCAGCTCCACCAGCCTCTGGGCTTCCTCCACCACTTATCTAAGATTGGGACACGAGAACAAAACGTTTGTGCCATCAATCATTTTGACGTGATGCATGTAAAATTGTGTTTCTTTTCCAAAATATATAAATCACACTGTGGACTGAAACTCTTCCTGTCTGTCTGTGAATTGTCAATCAGCGCACACTCGCAGCCTGTGAGGACATTAAAGCTGCTATTCATTCCTCCTTTTATCTTAACGCTGTTATCAATGAATTACGCTGAGCTCTAACGACACAAACCTACTGCCATTACATTACGCGTGTCGCATAGAAAACCTCTCTTCTCATTCACATCCTTATCTTCTGCGACTATTAACAGATATCCTTCATCCGATAACAGCTCTCTGCTCACTCACTATTCCTCTCACAGGCAGGTCTCCTTTCATCTTTTCATCTCGCCTTCACCTCCATCAGTCCCCTTAGAGCCTGCTGGCTTAACACTTGCCCGTTGACCACATGGTACAAATCAAACAGCCGGGCTGCAGCGTGGGTTGGGTGAGTGTAATTTAACACTACAGTAGAACCATAGGTGTAGGCTACAGTGTGATGGTTGTCCACCTGTAAGAACTCCTGGCATCTACTCTATTAGCACCTCACACACTGTCTGTTGCTCATTTTCCCATTTAAGCCTAAAATGTATCCCTGTAAACCCTATTCGCCACTCCATCTGCTCGTTTGCATAACCCACTCCTTCCATCCTGCTGCCTCTCTGCATTTATCTCCCCAACTGTTTTCCTGTCAGGCAAATTAGTCGAATTAGCTCCGTTTTACTCTCTCTTCCGTTACGCTGGCAACCCACTGCCTCTTTTCTCTCCTTCAAAACATTCACAGCGCAAAGAATAATTTCTCTCTGGCGCTGGCAATTTGCCCTTGCACTGAATGGTAGTAGAGCAGGTACAATCAAATAAGACATTCAGAACAGATAAGAGAAGTCAGGCATTTTCACACAATATTCAAGTATTTTTGCACATCATATCACCTGAGGCACGTCCGTCTCTCTCTCCTACACAATAGGAAGCAACAAGGTGTGCCAGGCCTCAAGTCTACGCTGCAGAGACACACGTTTTGATGGGGGCATTAGCTGTTTGTGCATTATTTACAGCGCACCAGCAGGAAGAGTTCCTGTTTTCCTCGTCATTGTAGACTTGAGCATTAGTCGCTACAAAACTCCATCTGTGTACTTCCTACACAGGGGCGCAGTGAGCTCAATGGAAACTTCACCTTGGAAGAACCTCTCGGTGTTATTTATTCATGTTGGAAAGTTTGGACAAGCTGGATCCACACAAAAATAAGGGTGCTCAGTCATGTGCAAACAGAGGCAGAGACAAAACTCAGAAACACAAGCCACAATCTTTCCCTGCCACTCTCTTTGTCTCTGTGTCAGACGCCATCTGATTGTTTGACATATAAACACAAACCAGAACTTTCCGATAAAGCACATCCAGTTATTTCTCTCCGATGTCTTCTCTCTTGCTCTCGATCTCTTTTTTGGCAGAGCAATTTTGTCTCAGGGGGAAAAGAAAAACAAGAAAAAAACTCCTCATCCATAAGACGTGAGCCGGAAAGCATCGAGCGTCGGACAAATAGCTCCAATTTCTTCCAGAGTGCAGGTTGACAGGGAGTATCGCCTTGTTCGCATACACACACACACACACACACACACACACACACACACACACACACACACACTTAATTAAACAGCATTTGTGAAGCATGCCAGGGTGATCTGTCAGCACAAAATTGCGAGAGCTCTCAGCTGTAGCGAACAACATACAATGAGCACAAACTTTTCCTTAAAACCACTTTAGACTTACTGTAAGATACACCCACAGAGGAAGTTCTGCCTCTCTCCCACTCAGACACACACCTATCCATCATTTCAAGTAGAGAAAGTTCCTTAAAATCCCCAAAGAAGCCGTTCTGTCAACACTGCCGGGGCGTTCAAGGCACTGTGAATAAACTGTAAGATTTATATAACCCTACAGGCATACATAATAACCACTCAGGAAATTGATGACTTGTCCTGCAGCTCAAAGAAACTCCGATAAAAATACTTGTAGTTGATCGCGTTGTTGCAAAAGTCTGCAACCTTAGTTGAACCTTTATGACCTGGCTCCTGCTAAATATTGTGTCTATAGTCAGAATGCGCTGTTTGGCAAAATCCCTCACTGTTGCAAGGACTCTGAAGGCATCCCTCAGGTTGCTGGTTCCCAATCTTGTTTTTAAAAAAAAAAGAATTTACTAATAAACAAATGACTAATTCAAATGAGCTTTAAAGTGGACCGATCATGCTATATTTGAAACATATATTGTAGGGCCATACCTACAAAACATGTCTGTGAAGTTTTTTTTTCAAAATACCAAACAGATCACCCATTGTAGCCATCCCTCTTACTGCTCAAACCCCTCTTTTGAAGCCCTGTTAGAGAAAAGCGGATCTTGGGTCCTTAGCTTGAAAAAAAGAAAGAAGAGGAGGCGGAGCTAATGCCTGATCAGAATTCTACCGGAGACAAAGTTAAATTCTGCTGTGATAAAACGCCATCCTGTTTAAACCACGTCAAGGATTATTTCTGAAATAGTATGGAGCTCAAATGCTTTTTCTCTTGCGGTGTATCACAAGGTGAGTTCTTTTTTTATTTCCTGCTTTTTAAAACACATGTGCTCTTCAGTACAGGTTAGCTCTGAGTGTTAGCGAGGCTTGCTAATGTAAACAAAAACGAGATTACGTCCAAAACACGTCAGGCATTGTTTCTGATAGCAACTTTCTGTGGGTCCGCTGCCGATTTGACGTCAGTTCGGATGGAATCTGTATCCGCTCGTTGTACACCCGTTTTTAAAAGATTTGGGTACGGAGGAAAAGAGAGAGGGTTTTATTTTCTGACGCTGCGTGAGTTCCCCGATGCACCGGGGACACATATGTATGTATAAAAGACATCACAAAGTGCATTTTGCATGATAGGTCCCCTTTAAGTAAAGTGTAGTCCTTCCCTGTCCCTCCCTACTCACCGTCCCCGGGGATGATGCGTAGTGTGACGGTGTTCCCGGCCTCCTTGATGAGGTTGACGATGTCAGAGTGGGACTTGTTGGTGATGGAGCAGGAGTTCACGGCCAGGATGCGGTCGCCGACCTTCAGCTTCCCGCAGCGGTCCGCCGGGCTCCCCTCGATGATGCGCCCTATTTTGTGGGGCATGGCCACACATGCATTGCCAGCTATGGTCACCATTGACACGTTGTGATTCAGTGTGTGTGTGTGTGTTTGGAGAGAGAAGGGCAAGGAATTGGGAAAGGAGTAGAAAAAGAGGATCAGAAGAATAAGGGTTAATTCACCGACAGCCAGCAGCCAAGGCGCAGTCCCTGAGAGAAGCCGTTCAGGAGAGAACGAATGCAAGCGTTGGCAAAGAAGGGCAAAGTGAGCACCGCAAAATAATCTGTCACTCTTATTCCTCTTAGGCCTTTACCTGTAAATTGTTTTTTCAAACGAGTCATTGGGAAACATATCTTCCAATGTGCTTTCTAGAGCTGCTCCTGCGCCATATTTCTGAAATGGCTATCATTATTATATTTGCATGAGAGCCTCAAAGCAAATAATAAACCGGTGTTGTGTCGTCTGCATCCCAAACACCTGGATCCGCAGAAAGACGACATTCATCAAAGCTGACATCACAGCAGCTACCCTGAGGTCTCTCTGTTTCTTGTCCTCCCTTCCTCCCTCCTTCCCCTCTTTCCTATGTCTGCAGTCTGACATCAGTCTCTGCAGAGAAGAGGAGCATGCAATCGCTCCTTCCTTTCACCATCTTCTTTCATATTATCATCCACCTCTTCTCTTTCTCTCGATTATTCCACTATTATAACCAGGACCACCTCTTCTTTTCAACTCAATCTAGCTGTAAAATATTGAGTAAAAAGTAAATGAACGGAGAGACAAAGAGAGAGTAATACTCTGGCATTTCTGCATAAAACCAGTGCTGCTCCAGTAGGTGTGGACTGCCAGGGATGCAAACTCATCAGGTATGAAAAAGGTGACAAGGATCCGAGCCCCCCGACCCCACGGAATGTCGGCTTTAAAATTAGGAATAACAGGATGTTAGCAGTCAGAACAACTAAAGCAGCAGGTAATAATAACAGAAACGCCAAAGAGTCACATCTAATAGAAATATATAAAAGCATTTATTTTAATTGTGTAGCAGTCAGTTTATAATTCTGGCAGCACTGTTGAGCATTTTGAAAATGTATTTTCATGCCTCTGTGCAAGGCTTAGTCTTTCTATCTGTATAGCCACTGGTGTAAAGTAACTAAGTTCATAAACTCAACAAGTACTACTTGGGTACAATTTTGAGATACTTGTACTTTATTTAAGTATTTCAATGTTTTGCTACTTTGTTCTTCTCCTCCTCTACAGTTCAGAGGTAAAAAGTGTACTTTTACTCCACTACATGTATTTAATACCTTTAGTTACTTCACATATCTGGAGTGTTAAATCAGACTTTAGTTCCACCTGGAGTAAATTCACAAGCTACCCTGCAGTATACAAAGTCATTCAAACTAGCTGCACCTTTACCAGCTTTGAGAACACTTTCATGATCAATCATTATAAAACATATCATATATATTATTCTGAAATGGACCAATCTGCACAATGACTACTTTTACTGTCGCTACTTTCACTATATTTTGATGAGAATACTTTTGTACTTTTATTTGATGAACATTTTGATTGCAGAATTGTTCCTACATTCTGGTACTTCTACTTTTACTCAAGTACAAGATCTATACTTATACCACCTCTGTTTATAGCCTATGAAAAAAACTATTAGAAAACGAAGGCTAAAGCTAACGTTAGCAAATAGTGACAATGTATGCTAGTTAGCTAGCTCAACGATAATATTGCGACAGAAAAACGTGTCAGTGCACATCACGCTCTGCCGCTCTGCTCTGAACACCTGAACGGCCCGTTCTAACAGCTGTTCACCAGCGGTCCAGTCTGTGCCACAGTGACTCCGGACCACAAAGTTAATATTAACGAACGCACCCGTAGGTAATGTAGCTGCTGAAGCTAGACCCTCATACCGGAGCAGCAGAGCCTTATTATACATCGATGAGCAGAGCCGACAGGCAGGAAGACTCGAGCTTCATTATAATAAATAAAAAAAGAACACCATGCGTGTCATGATGGCACATAACGGCTCGCGGCCGCAGATTACTCCGGGTCCCAGACCCCCCCCCATACCCCACAAATATTTTTATTGCAGATCTACATGAATCACACAAACGACCTATTTTGGATTCAAAACGGCGAATTTCGCCGAAAGGTGACAAGTTTGCATCCCTCACGCAGCCACTGGGTTTCCCCTGGATTTTTACATTTCAGGTCAAATCAAATGAAGCTTATCTGCTGGCCCATGCATTTGGCTCTGCCCTGTGAAAAAGAGGAGCTTTGCTACTCTGTAAGCTGACCTGGAAAGTTGAGCATTTTCAGACCTTTTCAGTACACCCACACTGACAGAGATAAGAGCACAGAGGAGAGAGGAAAAGCCATAGTGGTGCAGGCATGAAGGAAGTATAGAGCGCACTGCATAGAAAATACACTACTTGTTTGTAAAAGCAATATCGCCAGCTTTATGGCTAGTTAACAGTGTCTTAATTGTTTCTGATTGATTGAACCTAAAATATGTAGACGGGGTAATTTTGTAGGTCAGTCAATCTCTCTGATCCTACCTCGTTAAATAAATAAATATTACTCACACTGATCACTTCCCATATTTACCCTGCCTGCAGCACTCATTCTCATTAAGTTGTCATTAGGCTTTTAGTGCCAACCTGCTGGGAAGAAGCAATTTAAGTTGAGCTGAATAAAACAAATGTCTTATGTAAGACCCACTTCACTTGTGATCAATTATGAAAGCTTTGTGTGAGTGTAGCAGCAGCTGCAGGGCGGAGAAAGGGTTTCAGTGGCACGACTTGACGGGCTCAAGATGAAAATGAGAAAGAAGAACCTCTGCTTTGAAGTGGAGTGTTGGTATTGATCTGGTGGGATTGTAAATAGCCAGAATCGGTACTGGTTGTCAGGCTGTTTAGTGTTCAGAGGTTTCTATAGATGATACAAAGGCAGCCCACAAAGAAGACAGGAAGATAAAAGACTCCAGCGATGAGGGAAAGCTTTGGAGTGTGATTTTTTGTTTTGCTGAGTGGATCAAATCTTTAAGAAATCTGCATGTTCCAGCAACAAATGTGTGTGGTATTTCAAACAAATAATGACATCTCTTACCAAAGGTGGTGCCAGCTTCGGGCCGCGACACAGAAGACACGATGACGAAACCGAATCCTTCGCTCTCTCCGCGGCGGATCTCCACGTCGTAGGGCTGCATGGTGGAGGGGGCGTGGACATGACGATGGGGGGCTGAGAGGAGTTGGTGGTGGCTGCAGCCACGGCGATGACGGCGTTACCGCTGCCTCCCGCCCCTCCGCCGCCTCCCCCGCTGCCGATGCCAGAGGTGGAGCCGCTGCCGGAGCTCACGGTGTTCAGAGAGTTCTGGCTGCCCTGGGGGTCGCGCTTCCCCATCTCCTCCGTCAGGCTGGGGGCCTGGTTGCTGCTGTGGTGGGAGGACGCCGGCGAGGGTGGCACGTCTCCTTCTGCTTTAACTAGAGATGGCAGAGGAAGATAAGGTGAGAAGGATGCATGATATTCAGTGAAGGGTGGAAGAGGAAGTGGTATTTAGGAGAAGATAAAAAGACACACATTGCAGACAGGGTGGTGAGAAAGTACAAACTGAGGTGGTGACGCAAGAACATCGACAAGAGAACAAATATTATGCCAGACAGTGTTGCATAAGAAGTTCAGGAGATAATAGAACAGAAAACAAGCTGAATAAGACACCGGTGCATATTACAACAAGATATGATGACAACACAGCTAAGTGTTACATCATCCGTGCAATCTGACCGCATAAAAGATTGTAAACAAACACAGACAGGTTTCTTTTCCTATCACAGCCAGTTTATGCTGATATGGTGAAAGACAAGCTGGCGAGGGAGCTTGGGAAGAAGAGCCCCTCCAACAATCTCTCCCCCGATCTGTTTCTGAACAAAAGATGAACTAAAGACGCGGCCCCGCCTCTGGTATCCGGACATTTCATTCCACATTTCATTTCCTGTACAGCTGCTCGCGAAAGGCGCCTCATATTCTCAACGCTCTGAGGCAGACGGGGAGCAGAAATGCGCTAATGTCTGTCCGCTGTCGCCGGGACGAAGGTTGACCACCCTCTTCATCATATTTATGGGCCTTTCTTTATCGCCTGCCAAGGAGCAGGGTGGAGCCGAGCAGCGCAGGGAAATGTGCTGGTGGTAGTAAAGGAGCACTTTCAACAGACCATTACCTAGCAAGGCAACACCTGCACATAACAAACATGGCCCTGCGCCTCTGGGGAAACAGCCATTGTGTGTTTTTCATATGTATCTATGTGTCTATCTTTAGGTCTTTTACAGCTTAGGCCCCTCCCTCTTTCTTCTTACCGGTGTAGGTGGCTTTGCGTCGCACGGTGAGGTTGACGTGGCCCTGCTTTGCCGCCTGCTGCATCAGTTGCACCACCAGTTGGTGCGACTTGCCAACCACTGCGGTGCCGTCCACGCTTACCAGTTCATCTCCGGACCGCAGGCGCCCGTCTTCGTCTGCCGCGCCGTATTTCACTATGTGTCCGATGTAGATCTGAAACAAAGTATATATATGAAAACGTAAAAGAAAAGAAAAGGCTGTAACGGCACAAAATCGAGGCTATCATAAGGGTTTCTGCAAATAAGGTTACTCATTGATCCTTTAATGAGGCAGGATTTATTTCAATTCACATATACGCTTCAATTCAACGATTCATGTCCCAACTTCCGAAGTAGGGATGCCAGCGATTATTCGATTATTCGTTACAGTCTCCATAATTGAAAATTATTTTTAAAATTCGATTTTATTTATATATTCTTTTATTATTATTTATGTTTTTTTTTTTTCCTGGCTTAGTTTCAACTAAAATATAGACTAATGCTAATAATAGTATTAATAATTGTAAATGGCCATTGGTCACACCACCAGTTTGTTTTACTGTAAACTTGGAGGAAGCCAGCAGCGCAGGCTGCGCAGAGGGGCGTCGAATAATCGATTATTATTCGCCAGGGCTGTCCGATTTTCGATTTTGATCATGGTCAGTTTCTGGCATCCCTATTCCGAAGCAGGACTATAGTTGACATGCAGTACAGGTCTGCTACAATTTAAATCACACTGTTAACTCTTCTCCCAAAGCCTGCAACTGTTTTCACCACAGCTCAATAGTTAATCATTATTTTGCTTCCCTTCAAACAAAAAAAATGCAATGCAGGCCAGTGAACAAGAACAAACAACTTTGCCTATTTAGGAAAGAGAATAAAGCAGTGGTGTGTGTGAGAGACAGGTGGTCTTCTGTTTACATTGGCCGGATCAAAGAGAATCTGTGTAGAATAAATCACTGATTTGAAGCTGATAAGAAGCTCAGAACTCGGCACCGGACGCAGATGAATAGAGAAAAACACAAATCTCAGACTGGTGCTATATTTCATCATTCTGTGGTTTATCCATTTCACACAAATATGCTGTGAAAATTGAAAAGCAAACCAGAGGGAATGAGCTGTGAGATAGAAAGTGTGGGAGAAACTCACCGGCTCCCCGGGCTCGTTGCCTCCGAGGATCCTGAAGCCGAACCCTGTGTCCTTCCTCCACAGGAAAATGTCCTGCTCTTGGAAGTCTGGAACTGTGAAATCAAAAGAGCAACATTAACATTTCTGCATTAACACCAGCAGCCAGCCCAGAGGACTTCCTGCACCAAGGCAAGAATAACTCAGCCAGTAGCCTCAAGTAAAACTCCCTCTTCACCTATTCAGTCAAAGCCTCATGCTGGGCTGGAATCAAACCCCCCGCCTGCTTATTTCAACATGCAAATATTCCTCCTTCCAACTGTTCCAAGCTTTGTCACTAAGACGGCACTTTGCACAAACAGTCTGTCTAGAGGCTTTGGGAAAGGTGTTTGTTCTTGCTGTCAAAAGATCAAACAGATCTATTTCGGGTAAAGAGCAGAGGTATGGAGCTTAAATAAACTCTCAGAAGCAAGACAGGCTGCCAGAACAATTTAGCGCACCCTCTTCATGGGTCCCATAATTAGAAACCATCAGGCTGAAATTCCAGTCTGAAGTTAGGAGAAATATCATCCTTTACTTTTTTTATTCTTAGCTTTTTATGACATTTTCAGCGATGCTTCTCATTAGTAATGACTATTCTAATGCACAACACTGTTTCTTTTATGAGGCGAAGTGTGACATGCAACTCTGTTTCTACTCTCCCATAATGTAAGGAAGCACTTTCCAGAAAGAGGTGCTAATACATGCTGGAACATGCTATATATTATTTAGTGTAATTAGCTGACAGTCCACTCCCATCCACAAGAGAAATAATTGTGTGTGTGTGTGTGTGTGTGTGTGTGTGTGTGTGTGTGTGTGTGTGTGTGTGTGTGTTATTCACTAGAGAGATGCTTTGCTCAGCATTGGAAATGATGGGAGGTAAGGGGCTCAAATTCCCCAAATAATCTTAGAAATATTTCGCAAATAACTGAGGGGAAAAAAATTGCTTTTAAGAATAAAGAAAGAAAGATATATTTACCAGTTAGGCAAATATCCTAATCCTGTTTATCCTCATCCAATTCCTTTTAATTATATGCATTTAAGGCAGTGTTTTTTGCCCCACCAAATGTTGATAGTGGTGGCAAACATTGCCTTCAAATATGTCTCCTACACTGGCTGTGCTATACAAGAGGCATTGATCTGCAGGCTGACAGCTCGTGGTTCTTGTTGCAGTGAATGTGGGGGGCTCAGGGGAACCAGGAGCCAGTGGAGAGACGGCGCGAGCGTGCATGTGTGTGGCCTCATCCCGGCGTAAACATGAGCTTCTTTGCTTTAGATGTGTGTATATACTTATTCATGTTATGTGCATGCATTTGTTTGTCCGCAGCTGTGTTGTGCGGGCTGACAAACATGCACCTCTGAGCAAACTCCCAGGGAGATTTCCTCCTTGCTCCAACACGCTGCTGCCAAGGCCACGAAAGCTACTAAGAGGCGGGCAGGGTGGCAGAAGGCACAACCAGCCTGCTCCCAATCTGTTCCTTCAGTCAACAGTTGAAATCCCTGCGGAATAAAGCTATCCCTTCCCATCCATCACGATGTAACAGTGGAGGAAGTGGGAGAGGAAGAGTCAAGAGGGTAACTGTTGCAATCTGCACCTGCACTCGCTGGGTTCAACTGCAGGTACACCCTTCTGCCGTCGATGAATAGATCCATAAGTGATTCCCACAGTGAGGTAATGGGGCGTGAATGGATCAATATTTTACAAAGATGTACGGACCTGTGCTGAGCTATGTGTTAGGACTGCAAATACCAAGCCAGGTGGTTCAGAGAGTGAGGAAATTAGACTGGAAGCGTGTTTACACCAGACAACAGGCCTCAAGCAGCAACCGTCTCTTAAACGTATCTTTTATTTTCCCTTATTTTTGCCAGCAGCATCAAATGCATCTTAATCTGCTGTTACCCAGGTGTGCTGAATGATAAGACTCACTTGATCATAAAGTAGAGGCTTGAGGCTGATTTGATTTTTTTAGCATAGAGAAAACGTTATAAAGGCAGGTGTAGGGCCTTGTGCAAATACTTAGGTAAAAATTGAGATTACCTCAAAGGTGTAAGAAGAACAAGAAATGGTGTTTACTTGCGTTGGACAAAAACATTTGTGGACGGTGAAAACAAGATGATTTTTCTTATCTTGGTAAGAGTTCTCACGACAATTTGTAAAATGCTCTATTAAGAGCAAAGGAAAAATAAGAAAACATTGGGAATATGAAAAGTTGGGATTGTTCGCTTCTTGCGTGAGACCAAGTAATCAAAATGAAGGCCAAGCAACTTCCCTATCCTCTGGCCTAGATTTTTAGAGCAAGTTCTTTGGGGGAATTTTTTTTTCTGCAAATGGAAAAATCATTCACCACATGGTGTGTTTAAAGACCTTGATCTCTGCGAAACTTTTCATTATAGCGAATGTGGCGTAGAGAAATGTCTCTGCTGCAGCCGAGGCCTGGGCCCAATGGGGCGCGCAGCAGGATCTCAGGATGAGAGCTCAATGCAGCGTGAGGAAACGGAGGATTTAAACCTGCAGGTACAGGTCACTGTCCTCCCTGTCCTTCTCTCCGGGCTCCTTTCTTCTTCCCTTTACCTTAGAATCTCTTGATCCCAGAATATTGGAGCTTTCTCTTTCATTTCCACATGTTTGTCATTTCCCTCTTTGGTATCCTTTGTGCTCTCTTTGCGGGCCCCCCCATTTGCACTGAGCAAACTGGCTCAGGCAATTTAGAAAACCCCTGCTGAGACCCCATCACCTTAGGACAGGTACATTAAGACTTAATCTCCCCCTTCGTCTTGGTTTCTTCCAGTCCTCCTGACTATTCCTTATTTCATTTATGAATCAAACACTATTATCTTCTGTCTGCACTCTGAGCGCATGTTCAGCCCTTCTCTTCACACTCTTTTTCTTAGGCATCTGAATAATGAAAATCCTTGACAAGTGGTGCATAATAAGTTATTAGATGTTTCTTGGCCCTTGCAGACTCCTGCTTTTTTTCTTCCTCCTGGTTTTTTTTTTTTTGTTACTTGACAGAGGATGTGAGGGTTATTCTTTTTAATTGGAGCGTTCCCTTTGCTTTGGCGAGGCTAGACAAAGAGGAGGGGGGTATGCAATCCACTGACATCGACTCTACAACTACAGCTAATTATACGCCTGTGTGTCTCTTTAGGGAAGTGTAGTGTAAAAGTGTGTCAATGGTGGCAGTGTCGACATTTGGACCACAGTGGCAGCTACAGTAATGGCTTTTAAACGTCTGGACAGCGAACATGCTGCTTTTAATGCCGCTTGGAAACAAATGCCAACTTTGTGGCTTTGAAGAACTGATTTGAAGATGAATAACTCATTTTTCCAGCTGTGCGTTAGATGTCTGTTTGTTAAATATTAATCTGGAGCCAGCGGGCGATTAGCTTGGCAGAATATGTGATTATTAGTGAATATATGTGCGTATAAATCAGTTACTTACATGCACACACACACCAAGGGTCTCCCTGATCCAACAGCCCCATGCAGCCCTCATCCAACCGCCACCAAAAAGTATATACTTACGCCTACTTTCATACATGCTCCTGGACTGGGCCCAGATCTTAAAGGGGTCCGGTTTTCTTTGGATGGTCCCGTCTGCCGGGGAGTCCTGGGGCGGCAGACCCGGCAGGGGCTGAGAGGGGGGCGGGGGGGCGATGCTCTCGTTGAGAGTGGCCGCCAGGGACGGGTGCACAGGCGAGTCTGTGTGGGCGCTCCGGTGGCTGGAAACGCTGTGCTGGGAGCTGTTCTGACTGTCTTTCCTCGACAATTGCTGTTAGAGAAGCAGATCAATATCATTTGCCAATTGTAACAGAGACACACACAAAAAAGGTTATTGTATGCTCAGCAGCAGAAAGACAATCTGGTGAGAGGAGAATCAGTGGGGTGAGAACTAGAAGACAGAAGAATTTCAGATTAGAGATCAAAAGGATGATAGATGGAACCTGAGTGTATATAATGTCAACCATTGTTGCGTTGCGACTGACACAAACAACGATCAACCTGTTTGATCCAGATCATTATTTGACCACACAAAGGGAAAATAAAGGACCACAATGGTTTCTCATGATTAAGTCAGTCAGCTGTGGGAGAAAACAACTGTATCTTAACTTACGAGAGCACATTGCTTAGTCCTTTTGTTTAACACAGAGGAACTGCATCCATTGCTGCATCTGGAGAAATATTCACAGCGAATAAAGCCCTTGTGTGGTGTTTGAAATGAAGCTGGGATCCAACTGATGGAGCCAGAAAATGTAAAACCCCTCATAAATTGCCACTGGCCCCTCAATAACATGGGCACTTAAGCACCTGCTGAAGGATTTGAAGGGAGCGGTGCTTGAGCAGAGTTAAGCACATACAACCCTGAGCAGAAGTACAAGAAGAAATCCTTCCCATGACCCGTGTCACAATAAATCTTTCTTTACAGTCCCATCCTCACCATTACTCTGCAGATTTTCAAAACAATTGCACTAAAGGCAGAGGGTTACAAACGGAGCGTGAGAAACAAAGGGATATATTTTAAGACGACAAGAGAAAACCACTTCAGTTCAGTCTCTTTGCATCATGTGACCTCCCAGTTCTTTGGATGTGGTGGACAAAAATACACCAGTAAGAAGGACGGGGGCGGGTGGCTCATCTGTTCTTAGATATCAAAGTGCAGTCTTCAATACATTCACACTCATCACTTGCCGAATCAGCCAATACACCTATGCAATTCATGTATATATATTCATCATCCTTGTTAAACATAAAAGAGGCTTGAAGCTTGAGCTAATATTAAGTTAAAAGCTGTGGATCCAGCTTTATTGCTACAAGTGTTATGAGTGTAACATCACTGGGTTTTTGTGGGGATGTAAAAATCAAATGATTTATATATTTTTATTTTATTTAACCTTTATTTAACCAGATAAAAGCATTGAGATAAAATCTCATTTTCAATGTAATTAGTAACAACTGCAGGCTAGGTTTGGTGCTAAAGTCCGAGCTCAGGACTGATCCTTCTCTGACCTCATAATGATTTTTTTGGACGCTTTCATTCCATCAAACAAAATGGGGCCTCCATTAGCCAATGCGGCAGCTTTCTTTTTTGGTTTCTCTCACTTTGATGTACACAAAGTCCAAATCCCTTCCCCCTACTAAATGAAAACAAATCTCTTGTTCTTGATGGATCCATTAAATGTGACCTTCTGCAGTCACTGTGTTCTCCCTCTCCCCCGGGACTGCCCTAATACATTGGTTTCTGCTGCTCCAATAACTTATTAAGGAGACAGAAGATGGGATGGAGGGAGGGAGGGAGGGAGGGGGGTGGCCTCAGTCAATGAAAACAAATCCTCGCTGCTTCCTCAGACTCCTCTTGCCCAGCAGCAGGCCATACTGAGGTTCAGAGGCTCAATGCCTGACAGCATTAGCAGTCCTCTTTAATGTGTTTTATTGCTCACAAAATACCCTTATCTTGAAACATCATGCATTATCGTCCTCAATGTACCACCGCTATTATCCGCTATAAAAATGCCATACCATCACCATTATCATCTAACATACCCAGCACCAACACCACCACCGCACCCCCTCTTATCTACTTCACATACCATCCTAGTGTAATCTCTGTATGGAGGAGCCAGCTCCGTATGATCCTGCAAAAACAAAATTGACAACAAACGTTCAGTGAGTCAGACAGAGTCATCATGTCTCTGCGTTAATGCAGCGGATGTCACAGGATGAGGCCGACTCTCAGCTGTGATCCTACATTCCACTCTCACACTGCAAGCTTAGCACCCCGCGCGATGCGATCATCAGCGTGTTAGCAACCCAGCTCACGCTGTGCATCAAAGCCCCTCGTCCAAAGCCCCCGCCACAGAGAGGAGGGGAGGGGTGGGGGGGTGCTGATGTGAAGCTACAGGGATCCACCCCCGCAGAGCTCAGCATCCCAAACAGACTACAAACAGACCCATAAGCGCAACACACACCTTAGAGAGAGAGAGTCCAACATCCCTCTGACAGATACACCATGTAGATTGAGGACAGGAGAGTGAAGTATAGATGGGAGAGGAGAAACGTGTTGACAACAAAAACAACAACTTACCAGTTTCGGGCTCTTCTTTGCAGGTGCCACCCCTGTGAAGCCAAACAGAAATGGGGAAGAAGAAAAAAAAAGAGAAGGTTACCAATGTAGTTTTAGTTTATCGTCCACGTTCACAGAAAATACAAAAAGAAGAAAACAGATAACGCAGACTCCAAAACAATCTCAGCTCATCTATCCCTCGTCTCCTTCTCCCTCCTTCCCTCTCTTTCCCTGCTTGGTTCCTTTGCTCGCCCATCCGCGGCTGGTGTTAGAGGAGGGAAGGGAGGGGAGAGGAGGTGGTGGTGGGGGGGGGGGGCAGGCAGCGCGATCTATCTGCATCAGTGCCGCGGCCAGCGCTCGGCTTGACTGGTGCAGCGGAGGACTGGGGGCCAGCCTCCAGGGCTACCCCGGCGCTCGCTACAGAGCCTGGCAACTCCACGCGTGTGAGCAAGTGTGTGTTTGAAGGAGGAAAGTGAGGAGAGTTTAAGTGGACAGAATCCTGGAGAGCAACTAAGACGGAGAAGAGAGAGGAGAGGAGGAGAGCGAGCTGGAGATCCTGGCCATAGCATTACCCATGGAGAAGGAGTCCAAGATACTGAACATTAAATTATAGGCAACCGTCAGTTCCCCTCTTACTGAGACCATCTTCCTGTGTCCGCTGAGCGCCACGCTCCGCTGTCGACGGCTCCAGCATCTATAGGCAGTTGCAGCGTCCTCCCAGTCTCTCCCTTTCCTGCTGCCTTTTCCTTTTTTCCGCCTCTCTCTCTCTCTCTCTCTACCTCACTGCACACTGTCCTCCCTCCCTTTTTCTTCCCTCAGCATCATCACCTACCCTCCCTCCCTTGCTGGAGCCACACACACACACACACACACACACACACACACACACACCACACACACACACACACACACACACACACCACACACACACACACACACACACACACACACACACACACACACACACACACACACCACACACCACACACACACACACACACACACACCACACACACACACACACACACACACACACACACACACACACACACACACACACACACACACACACACACACACACACACACACACACACACACACACACACACACACACACACACACACACACACACACACACACACACACACACACACACACACCACACACACGAGGCGGCTCCACAAATCGGTGAGTGCTTAAGGTATGACAGACGGGTTTCTGCTTGAGTGAGCGTTGACCAGAAATATCATCGCAGAAACATCATTATCCCGGAGAAGCACATGAAGAAAGACTGACGGATTACTAAAACGCTAACACAGCCTGCATCTAGCGGGGGAAATGTGCTCCTTAAGCACATCGCTGCCCTCTCCTCCTCCCTCAACACTCCCCCCCTCAACTCTGCATGAAATAAACAGTTGTATGAAGTTATGGAAATGAGAGCGGGAGAAGGAATGCGTGAAACAAAGAGGAAAATGCGAGGCTTGTGGTGTGTATTTACCTCCATAATATTTCAAATACAACAGTGAGACGAGAAGCCGCCACACACACCTCAGCATACAGGGGTGTGTAACACATGTAGAGCACGAGTAAAACTAGGCGGTGCCTGATCTAAAAATATGGGCCACTTTTGTGTGTCAATCCTTGAGGGAGAGTGAAAGGATAAGATCTCTCACACACGCTCTTGTCTTCTTTATCTCTCAGACATCTGGGTTCATTCACAAACGACAGCTCCAACTGTGTTGCGTCTGCAGATTTCTTTCCTCCCCCCGTCCTCCTTCCCATCATCTCCCTTTTCACCCCCATTTTTCAATCAATAGAAATCATTCATTCAGGAGCACATAGCGATCCCGTAAATCAGACGCAGATGCAAGCTGTCAATCCCGAGTGAATCTCTCCGGCCTGAGCATGCTGTCAGTCAAAGCGTTAGGCTGCCGTTTGATTATCCTTCATCTGCTGCCTGCTCATGTTTCTCAGCACACTCGCTGCACTGGCTTTTCAATCAGACACACTGATACTTAAAACGGACACACCCGTGGAAGCGATAAACGCTGTTTATGTCGACTCTGACATAAGGTCGATTCAGGTCTTCGCATCGCACCGACCTTCTTCGAATTTCACCTTGGAATTTAAATGTCTTACTGTACAGTAAAAGCAAATGAAAGAATGACATTCATTCAAAGATATAGAGCACATTTAAACTGTTAAAGCTTTGATGCCTTTGACAAACAACGCAATAAAACAGTGCGCATGTTAGATGGGGGTTTTGTGTGTGTGTGTGTGTGTGTGTGTGTGTGTGTGTGTGTGTGAAGCACCACAGTGTGTTTGAAGCTCCCAGATCAAAAGGTGTTATGGGTGCTGGGGCCAACCTCCAGCGCTAATGACATACAAGAGGGAGGAAAGAGCGGTTTTGGACAGGTGGGCGATCTCGACTGGCCTGTGCAGCAGTGAGCGAGCACCCAATAAATGCTCAGCGCCTCCATCTCTCAAATAATAGACCAGGACCACTGTTCCTAACCCCCCCCCCTTCAGCTCATTTTGTTCTGCTTACTAAATCTTGAAATTTGTGGCAGAAAATCCATTCTTAACAGTGAGTAATTGAGGACTGCTCAACCTACAGGGCACTACATTGTGGTTTGGTGATTAATTATATAAAATGGATTATTGTGAATTCCAATGAAGCCAGAATAATAAAGTATCCAGTGTATTGAGGATAGCAGTAAATATAATGTATTCAGCTTGACAGAAAAACAGTCATCTTGTTTCACTGCCCGAGGAAAAACTCAGGCAGTGAAAATATTTTTTCAGCAGACACCAACTGGTTTTCTCTGTGTGACAGCCGTACAGCTGGTTTTGTTCCAATAGTTTGGGTGCATAACGACAACGCAAAGTTAAATCTTTAAGAAAATGTGATTTTGAAAAATGCATTGACAGACAGAGGTTAATAATATCTGTGCACTTTAACAATGATTTCAGGGATTGAGCAGGGTACGTTTTCCATCAACAGATAGGAACTGTTGCAAAACCCTGGCAGCAAAGCACTCGCTAATCGGAAGCCATTATTAGGCAGATTATGTTGTCTGTCCACAATGCGCCCGTGTGTGTTGCTAGATCTGGGCCAGGAGCGATGGCCTCCAACAGGCAGGTCCATCTGTCACCGTGGGGACAGTGGCTGGTGACCGTGGGGAACTGACAGGCGGTCTCCAAGGAGTGAAAGGCTCGCATCAGCTGGGTACATCACCAGCCAGGATGTGACAGCAGAGCACGCTTTATTTTGCTTCCTCCATGAATGTGGGTTTGCGTGTAAAAGGTGAAATTGAATGTACCAGAGGAGCATACCAATGTGACTAAAGGCACAAAGAAAAGCAATACATATATGAGAATGAACAGATTTTTGCAATGAAGATCGTGATGTTTTATCATGATTTAAAAAAAGATACCTATAGTTTTTTTTGTTAGCCTTCCATGGCTTTTAGAAAGCAGAGGTGAATTCCCACAAATCCACACATTCACCCAGGAGGAGACCCCAGTGCAGATTATCTGCAGAGCATTGTCATAGAAACAAAGGATGGTGCAATGGTGTAGAGTTATAACTCGCCCAATAGAAATGAAGGTGTGAAGGCATGGGAGATTGGTGGGGGTTGAGGGAGAGAGGGAGTCTCCCCGTGCAACAAGCTGTGATTCACAGGCACCAGCCTCCAGCAAGCCAACAATGAATGGGCGGTGAATCGTGGGCACCTAGCGGGCGAGCCGCTCCCCCATCATTGCTTTTGAGGACTGCAATGCTGTTCATTATGGTGCCATTGGAGCATGCAGTCAGCAGAATTTTTAATGCGAACTGGGCAAAAATACGACGCTTCGTGCCCATACAGTGAATTGATTTCCTGACTCTGGTCTGCGCAGGGACCCATCATCGACGTTTATCTCTTCCTAATGGGTGTGTACGAGCCTGTCCATATTATATGGGCCTCATGGCTGTGCCTGCCGGTAACTGTGAGTTTGTTTATATGGGTTATGTAAGTTCACGTAATGGTGAGCCTATCAGTGTTTGTCCTCCCAGAACACTGCTCCGTGGAGTGCTTTTTGACAGGAGGCATTTATAAGCTGTCTGCTCAGTTGCCTAACATTATGCCAATAAAGACTATCTAGTGTGGCAGTGATCCACTTGTTGTTTTTACCCTCTTTAAGGCACACGTCCAGGAAAGACAGAGGAAAATACGCTTTTCAACCCGTCGTTTGTCTTCAAGGGCACAATAAATCTCTTTCAAACTGTACTTAGAAGGCAAAGCGAGGAAGGGCAAAGAAACATAAACAAGAGGAAATGCACCCTCTTGTGATTTAACGCTATGGATGTTTTGTAGGTCAATGGCTCCAAAGAGTTATCCGAGTAGCCATGCAGATAATCTGTGTGACATTTGTTTGGATAAATCTAATCTAAATATCCAAAGGAGATGGATTGAAGGGGTTCATCAAATACACTGACATTTGCAAAATAGTTGAACACCTCTTGCCTGTTTTATTTTCTCAACCTGCCATTTGTCCGTCCGCTGGCTACGTGGGAGGGGAGGAAAGGTCCATCTCTCATTTTGAAAGAAGAGGAGAGCTAGGCCTCATTGCCCAGCAGGGACTAATGTGTCACCGCTGATTGATGGGTCATGAAGTGGGGGGAGGAAAGCAGAGCATGATGGGGGTTTCCGTGCCCCTTTTTCATCATCTCTCTGATGCTCTGACATTCTTCCGTCCACCGCTCTCTTCCTCTCCCTTCACCCGCTGCAGCCGTCTTTCCTGACATTTCCTGCACATGGCTACAAGCAGTGGCTGCAACCAAGCAAAATCTACCTTTGGAATTAATTGAAGCACCTGCCAAGCTTTACAAATAAAGAAAAGTACGAGAAAAAAAGACTCTGCATCTATGCTGAGGTAAAATGGCTTTCATTTTTCTGCAGCGGACTAATGACATGAGCTGCTGGGCTACTGGGAGACTGTGTTTTAGGACAAAGAAAAAAATGTGCAGCAGCAGGTGTGCACATCCCTACAGAGTTTGTAACATTTAGACCTTTTTTAAAGGGAACAGGGAAATTAGCGTCTGTACTACGGCAAGACATTAGGGTCCAAAATGAATTATGCCAGCGCATCAGCGAGGGCAGGAGAAGACAGGCGGGGGGAAATGAGCCCATTAGAGCAGTGTAATTAGACAAATGAAAGAACAGTGTATCACGAAACACCGACCTGATTGAAGTAATAAATCATGCCTGTGTGCAGTTTATCTGTGCACCAAATGTCTTCAAAACCTCTGAGGCTTTTGTGGGTAAGCCGTGAAACCCTGTCAAAGTCTCATAACCTGACAATCTGGCCTGTGGGTGGATCTTTCTTCGTATGCAAAAAAGGTCATTTACAGCTACTGTTGCTTTCTTAGGCGGAGAACATGAAAGCTAACGCCCTCAAAAGAGTTTCACATTGCCAAGTTTTCATAATGAGATCAATGATTTGCAGGTTTCCCCAGGCAGACGGTTACTGGTGTGGCAGAAATACACATGCTCACATTTTCACACCAACTTGTACACATGCTCATCACGGTGAATAGGGCAGTGGGAGAGGAGGCCCACTGTTGTGCGAGGCAGCGTTAACAAGTGTGTATCTTTGAGCGCGTCCGTAGGGATCGGCTCCCATCAGAGCGTGGGCGAGCGGGTGAGAATCCAAACACTGACAGGAGGGGAATGGAAACAGAAAACGTGGGGATGGAGGTTGGGAGGAGGGGCGGTTCTCCACCAATTAAGACTGCGCCAGACTCATTCTGCCTCGAATTCTTAAATTGGATGCACGTCTGTTCGCGTTTGAAACTGACACTGAATGTGTGTCTGTTTGTGTGTTTGTGTGTGTGGGTGTGTGTGTGTGGGTCTGCATGTGTGTCTGTTTGTGCGTGTGTGTCTGTGTGCGCGTGTGTGTAAGTGTGTGTGTGTGTGTGCCTACATGCACAAGCAGGGTTGGACCATGGAAGAAGACTCTTGATAGATGGAAGGAAGGAGAGTGAGAATAAAACAGAGCACAGGAGAGAAAAAAAGATGTATGTGTATGATAAGCAAAGCTGACATCAGGACCCCAATTAGAGGCCAGTGTGCCTCGATGCTACTGGTGGAGCGAGGCGAGGAAGAGAGAGAGAGAGCTGGAGAGTAATTAAGGCACAGTATCCAGAAGCTCAGTGTATGTTCTAATGAGTGCCACTGTGTGTGTATTTATGTCAGACACATGTGACATATGAATGATGGGTGGCACGTTGACATATGAAAAATACATTTAAACAGATTCATCATTCAACATGTGCACATTCGGAGGTGTGGGAATTCAGTGGGAGGAAGAACAACAAAGAGATACGCTCAGGGCGATATGTCCATGAGGCTTTTATGGAGCAAAGGTATTTGATCTTTTTCTTTGACTAATTTACAACAAATATAAATATACTTTATTTTATATTTGTAATGCCACATATGGTCTATATATGGTCTAGTATAGTGGCAAATCAGATCTAGGTGAGAATTAATCTACAAGCTTTCCATTGTCAGAAGGTACAGTTTCTAGCAATGTGATGATCAACTAGTCATTTAAGTACACATATCAATAGTTCTCTAGTCCCAGCTTCCCCGTGTGATAAATGTGATATTTCATTACATTATATTATTGTAAACAGAATATTGATTCGCTATGTTTCACTTTATTTCTGACATTTATAGGCAAAGCAATCAATCAATTGAGAGAAAGAAATAGATGAATCAATACTAAAAAAGGTATATATGCCTGACTGTACAGTCATATTACAAATATAATGTTGTTCATTCTCTATCTACAACGAATCGAGTTCTGACAAAAGCGCAAAATAAAGATTTTTTTTAGGATTTGCCAGCTTTTTATACTTAACGTGCTACAAACACATTTCCGGCTGGTTCCAAAAGACAGTTTGATACCAAAACATAGTGTGGGAAAAATAAGTGGTTGGCACACTGCACTACTCCAATCTGGCTCTCTAATTACTGACTGTTTCATTTTCAGGAAGCATCTTTGTATCGTTTGTACTTGTTATAAATGTTTAAATGGGAGAAGTGCAATGAGCAGACTTATGTTTTATATTATTAATCTGCATTGTTGGCAGAAGGGCAGGTCCCGCTTCTAGACGCTATATCTTGGATTAGCTTTCACATTTGTTTCTGTGTGTCTCTGCTAACTGGCCTTCTTTGTTTTGAATCCCAAGTAGGACAAAACCATCCATAAAAGACATTTAGGAAGGCTAGTTCATCTAAAATGCCTCATATGCATTATCATCATCATCATATCTTTGTCTTTCAGCTCAGTGCCACTCCTGTCATATCTGTCACTGCGCTTACTTAAACCCGGCTAAACTGCCTTTTGTTTTATTAACAGTCCATTAAGCCCCTGCCGGAATGATGCTGTAACATTTTATGGGCTTGTGTACACTAGCGGGATGAAGAAATGCTTCTCATTAGCTAAATCCAGTGAGCTGGAGTGGAACAGTTTGGTCTGTGTGTGTTTGCACTGTAGGTGTGTGTAAAAGAGCGAGACAAAGAGAGAGTGACAACATGGAGAAAGCTACGGAGATACAAATTAAGACTAAGTCACACGTGTGGAGCGAAAGACAGGGACTCCATGTGAGACTACAATGAGACTTGGCTGCCATTCTTCTCACAAATTTGGCTCAAAATGTCTGAGCACTTAACCCTACAGAGGAGATAAACTGCGTGTGTGAACACAGAAACACAAAAACCTTTTAGTTACTTGAATTAATAAGCCCCATAGCAAGCTATGGACAGTCTGACAGAGAAAATAGACCAATTACTTGTCTGGAACCGTCCGCTTAGGGCTCTGGAGGTCTGCGAGTCTGAGGGGAATTGGAGGGAAAATACCAAAATTCAATCATTTCAGTTTTATCCTCCATTTACAGTTGCTTTGTTTCCATTCAGTGCTTCTGTGATTCATCAATCAGGGAGCGCAACAAAGATTGGGTGCCACGTGTTGAATGACTGATTTTTGACTTTTGCACATGACTGATTTTGCGACATTGACCAACTAACGCTGGAAATGTTTGTTAACAGCACAATGACTTAATCTTAAACCAAGCCAGACAGCTCTATAACTTGGGAGTACTAAAAGAGAAGAATAAGAAGACGAAGTTCAGTAGATACTCATGTTTGGAATGACTATGGGAGAGGAGTAAAAAAATGAATATTCAGACTCTGGCCAGAAACCACAATCTAAACCTCTCTCCAGTGTTTACCCTTCTTATCATCTTTCATTCATCTCCCCTTTTAACTTTCCATTTCAAGACAGCTATGATGTTCTGACTGTCAAGTGAAAACACCTCACTCTCTTTTCTTCTTCCCTTTCAGCCACATCCTTAAAATGTTATTTCAACTTCCTCTGTGGCTCCTTTCCTCCTCCCATATCGTAATAATTATCATTCTATCTTGGCTTCTCTGCGATCTCTTCTTTGCTTCCAACCTCTAGTTACATGAATAAATAAATATGTGTGTCAATAAAAGAGCTCTCTGTGAGCCGGGACAGCCTGTAAGGCAGAAGCCTATTATTTTTTTATTCACATTGAGCAGATTCATGGGACATTTTTGTTGTTTTGTTTGGCAATACCTCAACATATGGGTGCATAAATCAGAAACCACCGTATCTTCCTCATCTCCATCTGCTCTCTTCAGTTTCAATATTCCCAGAGACAATAAGCATGCAAAAAGTAGGGGACCACTCACCTCTCTGCACCAGCATGCTGACCTCGCTGCCTTTGGGACACTTGCTGAGCATGTCCACCACCTGGTTGTGAGACATGGTCTGCACGTTTCTCTTGTTGACCTCCACGATGATGTCGCCCTCCTTGAGGCCACGGCAGCGCGGGTAATCCACGATCTGCTTCACCCTCTGCCCTCCGCCTCCTGGACTGTCGGCGATGGTGAAGCCGAAGCCCTTGTCTCCTTTCTCCATGTGTACAGTGATGAGTTCTGGTTGCGTGGCGATGGAGGAGGCCAGGGTGACCACGTCGTTGGGGTAGCCTTGATGGGAAGAGGTATCGGAGGCCACGTCCGCGGAGGGGCTGTAGGGTCGGGGGAGGCCGTTGTGGGGCGCCCCTCCGTTTGTCGAGCCGTTGTTGTTCTGACTGCCGTGGCTGGACGGCGAGTCGTAGCTGTTTAAGGCCTCCTGACCGTTGACGATGATGGGGTCTTTGTTGTCGAGAATGGCCACTGAGGTGACCAGGCTAGTGTTGGGGTCATCGGGGTCAAAGGGCAGCGGGTAGCCGCGGCACAGCTCCAAGTTCACCATGGAGCCGATAGGGATGGACTGGAAGATCTTCACAACTTGAGCGTGGGTGTAGCCGAGCACACAGATGTCGTTGACACTCACTATCACATCGCCTGGGAGGAGGAGAAGAGGGAGAAGTTATCATTTGTATGAAAGGAATTCATTTGGAAAAGCTTTTTTTTTTGCTTGGAATATATGGTTGATATACATGAAACAGAATATATATATATTTATGTTTTGGACTGACAACGGTTTAATGGATCAATCGATTCATCAAATAATTGGGAATCAACAATAAAACGATCGTTAGTCGCAGCCCTATTCCAAAACCTAATATATAAAGTAAACCAACCTGTCTCCATTTTGCCATCCAGGGCGGCAGGTCCATCTAAAACTAGGCTCTTGATCTGCAGGAACTCGTCCGGCTCGTCGCCTCCGACCACGGTGAAGCCGAACCCCCGGCGACTCTTTTTCAGCTTGGTGTTGATGAAAGTCCCATTCAGCTCGGATCGGTTCCGAGTAAAGAAAGGCTTCCCTCCTGGACACACAGACAGATACATTTCAATCTTTCAGATGCACTGATGGAAAAGCCAAACCTGGTTTTTACATTGCCAACAATGTTATAACTATTTTCCATTAGGGGATACACTGAATCTGAGCTTCTGTATCTGGCAATTTGGCAAGTAAATGTTTCTCCTAGTTCCCTTGTAGGCAGTCCCTTTACCCGTTTTAAATTGTGGTTGTGTATAAAAAGGTGTAATTGAGAGGCACAACATTTTTGTACAGAAATCAAATGTCTTGTGACACTCTTAATGGATGAAGGTCACATGATAACAGCATTTGTATGAGGTTGTGCTATAGTGAATGGCTCTTGCCAACAAGATATCTCCACCATTCAATTTGATTGGTTGCAAGGGTTTCATTAAAAAAAGCAATATCCATGGAAACACATTTCACAGCGCTCTTAAGCCATGAGTAAAGTCTGTAGCCAATTACTCAGTCATCCTCTTTCTTCTTGCTTTTTCTACCTCATTATCTGGCATTAAGGATATGAAAAGAAAGATATGAGATGAAATCAGTCCAAATCAAAAGCTCCAGTGAGATATTCATCCGTCACATTTACTGTCATAGAATGTGCGCAACGGGGAACAACAGTTAAAAAAAGAAATTGTCAGAGTGCTAATCATTTATAAATGGTCTGTTCTTAACAAGCTTCATACGGTACATGAATATGGAGATACAAGCACAGTGGAAGGAAAGCATATAAGCGAGCGAACAGTGCAGAGAAGGGATCAACAGAGGAACGTGTGCTTGTTGACCAGAAGCGCCACATTTGGTTAGTGTGACTTAGTTTATGCATTCAATGAAAAATGTATTACCCTTGGAGTCAGTTTTTGTCCTTGAGTTTGTGAGGATTTTGTGCTGCGTGTGTTTTTATGTGTGCAGGGACTATGAAAAGACCTTTTTTCAGGACAGGAAGGATGTAACAAAACAGTGAACATAGATGGCGACTTTATCCACGAGAGACACAGAGAGAAAGAGAGAGACTAGGAAGGAGGATAAAGGGAGTTTGATGAAGAGATTTCAAATGACGCCTGTTCTCAGGAGGAGTGTCAAGGCCTAGGTTGGCAAAGGGGGAGGGAGAGAAAGGGTGAGATAGAAAGACACAAAGATGAACTAAGCCAACAATTCAACCAAAGCAGAAAGGGGCGGGAGACAAAAAAGAAGATACAGCTAGACTGAGAATTTGAGCTATAATGTAAAGAGATTGATGAGAGAAAAGACGTCCCACTGAGCAGCAAAGGAGTAAGAGGGATGCCTTGGCTGGGCTAATTAGACAAGCTGCTGGTGGGAGGCTGGTATAAAGGGAGCTGGCAACCAGGAGAAGGAAACACACAGTAACGGCTAGACACTGTAGGTGTGTGTAGCGCTAAAGGGTGGGTGGATTCAGGCCTATTATTTGATGCAGGAAAAGCAACATAACAGAACAGAGGATCCATAAGAAGCAACGGGAGGCCACAGTAAACACGGGGGGGGGAGGGGGGGGGGGTGTATATACAATTAAACGGTGCTTCGCAGAGTTTGGCTAAGAAAATACAAACACTGCTTCGAGTCCAATGTATAGATGAGTAGAATTGTAATCTACTCATTAAGAATATATGATGAAATGTATACAAAGAGCAGCTTAATAGCCTATCCACAACTTTATAATAACTCAAATACAGCCTTAAGCGCTGGTTCAGGAAAAAAGAAAAACTATAATGTAAGGGTTACATTTTAATATAACAAATGGAAATAAGCTGGGCATTAGGAAAAACTATTGAGTAGTCCCGTTTTATAGAATTTTCAAACTTTACATAAAAGGGAACTTACGCTTTTGTCCCACAGCGTTGGGCATTGGTGGTCCTGTTTGGGGGTCCCTGTAGGTCTCCTGGTGGTTGGCAGCGTAGTTGGCCAGCGGGGCCCCTGCCAACGCCGAGTCCTCGATCCATTCTGCAAAAGCAAGAGGCACATGTTCTCTAGATGGGGTCAAGACAGGTGCACAGCCGCCCTACTTATGGGAGAAACTGGGGCTGGACGACATGTCCTTCTGCGCTGCGTGTTCGAGGAAATAGCCAATTTTTCTTTCTATGATGCCAGAGGAAGAATAGTTCTCTGTGGGTTGGATATATTTCCTGGTATGCGTCTAAAAAGAAACCTTCCCCACAGGACAACAGGGGAAGGGAAGTAGTAACAAAAATAAAAACTACCAAGATATAACGTCAGGTTCAACAGGTCGCTTTATAACTTCATGCAGCTTTAAAAAAGGTTTCACATCTTCCTATTGAATACAAATAAAGATCTGTGAAAATGGAGCAATTCATTCCCTTATAAGGGCTGCCATCTTTCATTAATCACCTTGCTACGACATCAAGGCACAGATCAGCCTGCAACCTTCATTAACATTCTTAACAGTGAGATAGAATCAATGCAGAAGCGGAAACAAACTGGTTAAACTCAGCTTGAAGGTATTGAGCCTTTTTGAAGAGAGCTTTCAGACTTGGGAAAAATCCACAGGTAATCGAGTCGAATCGAATGATTTCTGCTGACTGAGCTGAAGCTGGAGTTACGATGTGGGTCAGCCCGCATTTACAATTAATCTCTCTGCGGGGGGTCCTGTGAATGCATATGGTATACGTCTAGAAATAGGTGCAACCTGGGGTTACCTATTAGAAGTGTTTTGGCAGCTGTGCGAGCTAAAGCGTCACCATTATTACTGGTAGCACTTAGGTGACACAAATCAGGTAAGAGGCTCTCCTTATCACTTTCAGTTGAAGAAAAACTTACCTGTCTTCACCCACAAAGCTTTTAAGTTATTACCGACAACAAGTGTCCGATAGCAACCCAGAAAACTGAAATTAACTTCAAAAAGAGGCTGAGCGGTACAGCCGCAAATAATAGTTATGCCTTTATGGAAGGGCACTTAGCAAATCATAAGGCAGTAGCAGGCGACATTAAGAAACACAGTAGCAGTAGTTGCAGTAAAGAACACAATCTCACACATATATAGAGAGACGTACGCAGACAAGTCAGTCACACACATGAATAGAAAGAAAGGAAATGACGCCCTTGGTGGGGGCTTGTGAACGAACCTCGGATGTAGCGCTCACCTTCAGGTGGCTGCTGGCTTTGGGGCTGAGGCTGCTGAGGCTGCTGCTCCAGCTGCCTGCGCCTCTTAGCCTCCAACATGGGATTCTCATACTGGGTCTTCCTGTTGATATGACTTTGGGACGGTGGGAAAAAGGAAAGCGTAAATTGGGGGTTGAAAAGTAAGAAATAAAGTTAGGGGAAATCAGAAAAAGGTAGGTTTCAGTAGGAAAGTGGAGGGAGAACAGACACAGAGGAGAGGATAAGGTAATAGAGGAGAGAGATGGATAAGCTTTGATTAATACACAGTGGCACAATACACATGCATCCATCAATACGCACACAGTAATCCTCTCTGACACAATCACGTTCGCAAATCACATCAAATAAACCCCATTTTCATGATGGCTTAATTTACAGGCGAAGCTACAAACATCTTGACATCACAAACTAGCCCCGAGACATTACAGCTGAATGCAGCTGCATTGTACAGCACATAAAGGGAACGGTGAGTAATTTATACTGGAAAATATATATTGCCGATAGAAAAAGGAAAGGAAGGGAGGAGGGGATATTGAAATGCCACAACCTTGGCAGGTGCTGCTTTGAAAAACATCGAAAAATGCATGAAACATATTCGTATTAATGCTGAGGCCCAGGGGCATCATACGAGATGAGATGCGCACACACACATATGCACACATTCACCGCATGTTTTCCCAAATGATAATGACACAAACAAAATGGCCTACATTTTCCAGTACACAAAAAGACCAAAATAGCTGCAGCGCAATCTGGCTGTGACAGCAGGACTGTACATACATTAGAGAGGCTCCTATTTACAGTGTGATCTAGATTCTCTTTTGTTAATATAAAAAATGATAAATGGTTGTTTCTTATTGTTCCTTTATGTGCAGCGTGTGTATTTGTATCTGAGTGTGCCTTTACATACTGTATGTCACTTACTCAACATAGTAGACCCCATACACTGGATCGTCGATTTTCTCCCATCCTGGTGGAAGTTCTAAAACAAAAATAGAAAGAGTTGGAGACGGATTAAACAAGGAACACTGTGAAGATGCCACTGGAGACCTTTTGCCTCTCCATTGTGCCTCCAGGGCAGGAGTCACTCAACAGCTACACAGGCTGTCAGGCTGACGCTCACGCCGCCCCCCCCCCACCACCACTCCTCCTCGTCCCCTCACAATGGTGACATTTCCACACATCAGATAAGAGCAGAGCAAGACCCTCTCGGGCAAAGGATGGGAGGATAGAAAGGAGGGATGGAGAGATGAGAGGAGGTGGGAGAAAGGAGTGGTGTTGGAGTCAGAGAGAGGACAGGAAAGAAAGAGCAAAGAAGGAGAAACAGGTGGAAGAAGGAGGGGATACTGGGGGGGAGCAGGACTTGGAATAATCAAGGCTTTGAAACCATGGTATGATGTTTTATTTATCTTTTTCTTGTATGATAGTTTTTATCTTATATGTTTGTATAGTTTCGTAATATTTAGGTGTGGAGAGCTGAAGGTAAGAATGTCATAGCAACTGCCTGTTATATGTGTATATGACAATAATATATCTTGAATCTTGAATCTACAAAATATATTTTTAAAAGGCTTGAGTCTGGTAATGTGCTGCTAAGGTGTGAAATCAATAGAATATTTTTTTAGCATCATAACATTCACTTTTCTTTTTGACAGTCTAACAAAGAAGCACATATCCGATTCATTTGATGTCTATATTAGTGAAAATAAGACTGTCCTTGGCTGGACAAAGTGGAAGTGTGGCTGTGTTTTCTGTCTGATAAAGATTGTGAGAGTCACGCTTTGTGCTGCACCTTCACTCCTCTGAAAAACATCTTCATTTGAGGAGGTCGCATTGAACGCAGCTGCTTACTCACAGTGAAACAATCTCGCATGGAGGATTTTTTTTGTGAAATTCATGGTAATCAGCGCTGATTAGGAAAATAAATGGATATGACTGGGCCCCACTTCAACAGCCTGTAATTGCCCGATGGTTCACTGTATTTCTACAGTAATGCCGTTATCTCCGACAGAAACATAAGATTACAGCAGCGTTGATTATTGGCCGGCCTCCACACAGATAATGTCAGAGGCTTCTAATTGGCTACAAACACAGATTGTCCAATATCCCCCTCCCGTGATCAGCTCAGTTTTACATATCGTTTCCCGCAGCCAATTAAGCGCTGCCCTGTGTGCGAGTAGTTGGTAATTACAATCATCCAACATGGAGAGCCTCCCTCTGCTCTCTAATGAGGAGGGCCCTTCGTTGGAGTGGAGTCAACAGCAGATGCAAAAAAAAAAGAAAAAAAGGAAATGTTTAAATCGTATGTACATGACCCTAAAGATTGCAGTTTGTTACACCAGGCTTGTCAATTTACGATACGATACGATATACTTTATTGTCCCCGTAAGGAAATTTGTTCTGGACTCCGTCCTGCAGTTCCGCATACATGTACATATACAAACATAGTGGACATTAAGAGACATACACATATCAGTCATACACCGTTGAACTTGCTGGTGTTTATATGTTGATCTGTCTGTATAATTGTTAATGTAATAGAGGTTAAGAAATGTGTTATGTGTATGTTAATGCCCAGGGACAGCAGATTGAAATAAATTGATAGCTAAATCTGGTTTAAATCATGTCTCTTCTTTTTGAGATTATATTTTATGCATGGTTCTTGTTTATTAAAGAACATTATAGAACTTATAATAATAAAAATGAGACAAATCTGCAATCAAGAGTCGTCAATATGATGTTTGGAAGCAATTTGAGTTACTCTAACTTCATATTTTCTCAACCTGCTTAATTCCTTTTCTAACACAGAAAGCACATGCAGCGATGAAATGAATGCAAGGTTAAAGCGTTGCTGTTGGTTACAGGGTGAACCTCCAAAGAGAGCACGGTGAATTATCATTCTGATTTTTGAACTGGAACGTTAAATGGAATGCGGTCCTGCATGGCCTCGCGCAACATTTTAATCACCCACTTGATTTCACACTGCACTAGTTCCGCTCCTGGAGGAGCTCCTGCGTTTGTTTGTGTGTGTGCGTGGTGAGTGAGGGAGTGTGTGTGTCACAGAGAAAGCCTGGCAGAGAGAGGACATATGCAGCAACCATCGTAACGATTTCGTACATTACAGTGAGTGTAAACACAAATGAGAAAGACCAGGAGTGAGAAATGTCTGTCAGTCATTACGCAGGGTTTTCCTCTCACACTGCCTCCCTCTTTCCTCATCCCACCTTCCAGAACATATTGTCAATTCAGCGGGTAGTCAAGCATGATGAATTACAAGTCTAACTATTCGCATCTCATTCTCTTGATACTGTGCTGAGATTGATTTCTCTGGAGTAAGCATGTAGTACACGGGCACTGTGTGTGAGTATTTATGCATGTGTGTGTGTGTGCCTTTCATGTGTGTCTGCCCTTCCTTCATAAGATCTGCCTCTCCTCAGAGAACTGAGGTTAATTGCATTCCTTTGCCCACTCGTATTGGATTGTGCTGATCAATAATTATTGAACTAGTCATCCAGTGGAGGGCTGATCTGATGGTTGTAACATGGCAGCTGTTTAAGACGCTTATCTACGGGAGCTGCTAACAAGACGCTCTGCACACGGCCGCTTCACCATCACGTGCATCGTCAAAATGTTCTGTCCCTGACTTGTTTTTGTTGTTGTTTGCTGAAACACCTGCCATTCAGAAATAAGAGCTAGAAAAATACTGAAAGTACTTAGATAATATTGATTAAATTAGCTTTACTACTTCAATAAAAAATATACTACGATACTTAAACAGGGTTCCTTAATATGTCCCTGACCCTGGCAACAGATGGTAGATGGACTGCATTTATTTTGCTCTTTACCAGTCTTTGCAACCCCTCAAATTCTACAAAAACACAAAAGAATAATATGAAAGATATTTATAGATTTGATCCCTGTATTTCAATGTTTCAACCACAAAGGTCTGCTACCACCATTACTGAGTTGCTCCTGATGGAATGATGTCTTCCATTACCCGTTCATAACGGAGCAGGCAGTCTGCAGACACCATTATCTGCACAAGAAGCCGCACGGCCGTGTCTGATAGGTTAGTTAGTGTTCTGATGGGCTTCAGGGAACAAAGGCCTGTTGCCGCCTGACTCGGACAGACACCCATTAGCAAATCATCATTACAACAATCTTCCTCGGATCAGCCCTTGTCTCTTTTGTGTGACATGACGAATCTGCAGAAGTGTAAGTGTGTCTGGATTGCTGATGGCATGTTGACAGTTGTGCTCAAGGCTGTTTATTTTGATTTTAGACTTGAGTTTTTTTTTATTGTATTAAGTCTGCTTTTTTAATGTATTAAAAAGCAAAGGGTTAGGCTTTGGTAAAGGTCATATCTCTGTCAGTGTGGCATAATGTGTCATTTCTGGATGATTAGAGTCATCTCTCTCCAACTGTGGAGTAAGACTTCATGAGCCACTGGTGGTGATGTTGGGCATGTCATTATGTAAATGTGTGAATCCATTTCTAAATTGAGATACAATTTGAATTGCAGATTGGGTGGTGTTAAGATGAGAGAAGTTCTTACCTAAGTCATTGTCCAGCTCCTCTGTGTGGACCCCTTCTGCTCGGAGGGACGGACAGACCAGCAGCACAGGAGGGTTGTTAAATGAAAAGAGAAGGGGGGGGGAAAGGTGCACATCTGTGAGTCAGTCAAATACATCTGAGAGATAATCACAGCCAGAGCCTCGTGATAAACACAATCCCCAAAACGGATCTGTGTGTGAACGTTTGCCTTTTGAGGGGGAAGAAACATGATCTCATTGTTAACAAATAGTTGTACTCTCTGTTTGCATGCATGTTTTTGTGGCTTAAAGCATCTGTGTTAAATATCTCTGAGCAAGGAGGGCATTACGTATTGGAGCTACATGATGTGGATGATGCATTTAATTCCTATGAAGCTGTGGGGCATCTTGCTCTGACGAACAGCTGAACGAAGGAGCAGAGCAGTGACACCCAATGACTGCTCGCCATCTTCTGTGACCCAACACTGACACCTAAAGGCTGCTGGGGGAACTACTGCGCTGCTGTAAACATCTGTCACAGCATTGTGAAATAGGACAATAATGTTGTTTTCTAACCCATGTTAGAATCTACTAAAAAAACATCTAATTGATTGGACATATGTGTAAATAGAAGTTTCCTTATTTAATCATGAATGTAAATGTGTTTAGGTGTTTTTCTCAAAATGTCCCTTAATAATAAAACAACAGAATGAGAGAAACCTATATATTTTACATCTGACAGAACTAAATTAGAAGAAAAGTGTATAAATCAAGGAATACCTTAAAGCCTGTTTAAGTGTAATGCATAAGCAGAGGATTTTACATAAACATATCAAATGGTATAGGGAAATAAGGCTCAAACATGAACGTACCATCGTCTTCACATTCTTCCAGGGGTTTCTGAGGCTTGTCCATGCACCGAGGGTCTATCCAGGAGGTGGTCTTTGTATTGTGGCTAAACAGAGAAAACACACACAAATACAATTACCTTATGGGGATAGAAATAATGGAAAAACGCTATACATTTACATCTGGTATGTAGCAAGGCAGATGTCTTAGAAGTTGACAGGATTTAATATTATAGTGCATCATTTAAGATGAAGATTTGCTGGAGTCTTATGAACTGAGGGGCAGGACTATCTAGTCAAGTTATACATGTCAAGAGATGTTGAAATGAGGAATCAGATCTGTTATTGATACATTGGTTCCTTCATAACTATTTGGTCCACAGCACAACACATCTAGTATGGTCTGATTGAGGAACAGCTCTTCCACTCTAATGACAGACAGACGCTTTTTGAAGGACAGAAGCTGCTGAGCGAAAGGCACAAAATGATTCCATTATAAATGAAGGTCACAAGGTCACACCACTTATTACAGACGTAACTCATGTAGTGAGTATTTTTAAAAGCATTAGGATCTGGGTTGAATTCAACCCCTCAAAGTCCTAAATTGCAGACTTTATTTCCCATGTTCTTACTCCAGTTGAACTATATTCCTAGATGTAGTGGCTGCATGCTGAAGAACTGAATAGCATGTTGATTTATGCTCCATTACGTTGTTTGTGATGGATATAAAGCTTTCAAAGTATCCAAAGCATCATCATTTAAAGACCGAGTTATTGTATGAAAGCCTGAGGAATGTGTTTAACGACTTGATGTCCGATAGCAAAGTGGAACTCTGGTAGTTTATGTCTGAACTTTCTGATCTGCAGAACCATTTGTTTTTTATTGAAAATGTTTACGTATTGGCTTTATATGTATAACCAGAAACAGACTATATTATTTATCCCAGTTTCCCCATTTTAGAATGAAATAAGTCAAACGTTTTAGAACAATTGAATACAATAACATTTACAATATGTATACAAACATAAGAAAGCAAAGTTAGAGTGTGCAATAAAAAAGATAAGGTAATTAAAATAAGAGTTTTATTCAAACATAGGAAGTTATAGTTAAAATGTGCACATTTTACTATAACATAGTGCATTTACACTACAAAATATAAAGACATTAATTTTCAATTAATTTTCAATCTCAATTGCACAGTGTATGTACATATGCATGCAAAACTAAATGTTATACGTCATCTCTTTGGCACTTTCAGGAAGTGAAGCAGTGATCAGAGCCACGCTGCGTTACGAGTGTGAACTCACTCTATATAGTAGACCTCTCCGTTCTCGGTGTAGGCCATCTCCCAGTTGTCAGGCAGAGTCCCCAGAGGGTCCTCCGGGGGAGGATGGCTCTGGTTAGAGTTGGACTGCTGAGTGTTCTCCGTGGTGGCCGATGGTGAGGGGGTTCTCCCAACGTAGGGCGGGTCACTCCGGGGGACGTAGGGGCGCACTGAGTGAGGAATCTCGTCTAATTCACTAGAATCTCCTAAAAGGATTCAGGGAAGCACATGGATTGGTGTTAAGATACGTTTTTGGTGCAAAAAAAAAAACACTTTCAGAATCAGAAAGTAGCAGTGGGAACAACTCAATGCAACAAGAGGAGTCTTAGAAACTAAATCTAACACATAATGCCTTTCAAAACTTTGCCCTGTGTGAGATAATTGCCATTTCTAAAGAGCATCACACCACTAGATACAGCACAGGTTTTTAGAAAGTTACGCTAACATGACAGACTGTAACATATTTTAAAACAACATGTTTGGAAAAGAAGGAAAGAAAAAGTTAGGACAAATGTTTACCTGTCATTGTTTTCTTTCATGACATATGTCCTATTTACCTAAGCAGTCCAAATGTATATGAGTATCCTTTTGAAGATTTGTTAGAAAAGCTGTATCTTCCCACAAGTGTTGGTCCAAGGAAATTCCAAAGCTTTCACTGCTAGTTTTGACTGAAATCCTACTATTGTGTTACACTTCCCACAGCAATAGAGACATTAACTTCAGTTAAAGACTGCTGAGTGGGCAGTTAACACCTAAAAGCATGGCCTGTGAAGTGCTATCACCTAGTTTCCCGTTATCTCATTTTCACACTCACACTTGACTGGTTGGCACCCTCAGAGCTCGCACAATCACAGACGGTGAATAAACAACTTTAGGTCCCACCTTCTCAAAAACACATGGCAGAGACAGCTCTAGAGCTGAGATACCCTCCTTAAAATGCCTACTGACCTACTAACACACAAGAGGAGATAATAAGATATCATTCAAATTCAATGCTAACAGAGACAAAACAGCATTGATTTCAGCATCATGCTTTCAAACATTTTGAATCATGGAATAAAATCTCTTACTCTAACATACTACACTAAGAATACATGCATCCATGGAGGTTGCTCAGCCTTCTGGCCTCCACTTCTTGCAGCCAGAGGGCACTATTTTACACTTTTGGATGCATGGATACAGGCAGATGTAGTCAAACCCAGAGACCACTTACTCACCAATGAAAGAAGCTCTTGTATGCTATAGCCCCTCACCACTTTAAAGCCCTCTCTTTCTCTCTCGGCCGCTCCCTCTCCACTCTTGTTGTCCTCTTTCTCCTACTTCTTCATTTTTCTGAGCTTATCCTCCTCAACAAAACAGAGTCCTGCCTTCCTTCCCTTCCCTCACTGTCCAATCCTTTTTCAGACCTGCCCACATGTCCCCCTCCCCAGCCACTCCCTCCTTCCTTTTAATTTCCTGCTACCTTGTCTCTACTTACATCCCCTCCCACTTTATCCGTCGCAACTATACTGTTGTTTTTTCTTCTTCCTAGCGGAGCTGCAGAGAGCAGGATCACATTCTAGTGTTATACTCCCAAATAAACAGAACACAGCATGTTCTCAGGGTGCTTCTGGACAGCTCTGCAAGCAGCCGCCTGTGTACTCTGACTGCAGGTCTGCTTGTTAAAAAGGTGTCCACACCGGCTACAGAAGCTTGTGAGTCATTATGTAAGTTCTGCAAAACATGGAGTACTACAGCTAGTAGAAGAAAATGATAATAAACCCAGAATAAGCGGAAAGCAATTGATAGGTACAAGCAACATTTTTGAAAATGTTGAAAAAACAGAGAAAGTGAATCCAGCTAGCCTGTAGTGTTTGCCAAACGTGGCACTTCATATTGGCTGTTGCCTTTGTGAGGATGCCAAATGTAATTTAGTTTGGAGAATAGCATCAGCCTTGAGGCCTGTTCCGGTTTGGTGTTTTGTATCCAAATAAATGAAAATCATACATAATCCATTGGAGACTGACTACTATTGACACCGGGATCCAGAATGTGTTTCAAATGTTCCTTGAGTGACCGTTTGTTGTGTGACCTCAGCTCTGTACTCACTGTGTGAAACTGCTCAACAGAGAAACAACACATCTGTGCTCAACCAAGCAGCCAGAGAGAGGGAGTGTTCAGCCCAGAGTACAGACTTCAAATCAACTGTTTTGTGAGGTTTAGCATTCACATTGCTTTTCACTCCTGTGTGATCAATCTCTGTCTATCTTTTAATTAGTTTTGGTAGTGAGGGCTTGCTCTGATTATTGATTTACCTGTAAAAGATGTTCACAGTAATGAGTTGTTTAGTTTACATTGAGGACAAATGTCCATCTCAGTAGTCCCCCTTGTTTCGTCTTTCCAACTTTACATAAATACCATTAGGTATTTATGGCAATTCAAGATATTCAGTATAGCACCTGTATAAAGTCTGGGAACTGAGAGAAATACATTTATAAAGAAAAAAGGGGGCTGAGATTCTGACATGAGTTCCTACCACGAGTCAAGTTTGAAAACACTGGATCCCACATTTCCCACACTGCAACTTGATGATTCATATATTAGAATCATACCCAATGTGCCTATTTAGTATTCAAAATAAAAATTGAAACAACCAAGATTCCACTTTCTACTATCATGACTTTACATCATGTTGAACCACCATGCCTGGTCTCTTCATTTCACCTCTGACATTCTCAACTACACAATGTCTAAATGTAATGATTCTTGACACTCAAGCATTAGCTGGAACTGATAAGACATGCAGTCCTGTGATCATCTATCCACAAACTATTCCCTCTCCTCTTCTCCCCCGTCCTCCTGCTCCGGTATGTACCTGTAAAGCTGCTGTTCATGTCCGGGAGGTCCTCGTCTTCCTCCTGCTGCTGCTCTCCAGGCCCTATTCCAGCATTTTGCATGTCATTGTAGGACTTGGAGCGTCGGGGAGTGGAGTGCTCAGAGCCCGGCAGGCTACCGCTGAGCCCGTCTGGCAGTGGGGCATCACCGCCGCTACCGCTAATGCGAATCACTTTCCCACCGGGGGGCTGCACCGGTGGCTTGGGCGTCCCATAATAGTTACCTAGACGACGAGAGAAGGAGGAATGGATTAAAAAAGATTGGGGTGGGGAGGGTTTTTTTAGTCTGAGGGGTCAAAGAGTTGTGTGTGTGTGTGTGTGTGTGTGTGTGTGTGTTGGAGGGGGAGAGACCAGGTTTGTGTGAGGAACATTTGAATATCTGAAGCAAAGCTAAATATTGTTCTTGTTTGACCTAAGTTTAAACTACTTTGTTTTAACTTATCACAAACTAATAATGTTTTACGCAACAACACTTCCCACATGATTTTTCCTCCCTTATAACCAATGAAAGTTGATCTTTTATTTTTTATATTCGGTTACCAAGAACAGTAGTAGTTTTCCTGAAAGTATTTAAGTTGACATTTAGTAAAGCATTTTCCAGACAGATTGTCCTTCAGTGCCTGTACCACATTTCAAACTGACAGATTCAAAGGCGAGAGAACAAAACATGCAGAACTGTTTTATTTCTATTATTGAGTCATTCTCATCCAAAGTTAGAACAGAGTGACCTCAGCAGACTGCACCATCTGAGAATCAGAATATAAAGACACATATAAAGCCTTCATCTTAACAGCATTAGCATCCAAAAGATAAAGGCAGGAGAAAAAAAAAAAAATACCTGGATGTAGCCTACTGGGAAATAGACATTTTGAAAATACAGGAAAAGCACAGGGGTAATTGATAACAATAACAACAACAGCCATTTTAGCCATGAACAAATGTTTATAAGCACATTTTAAAAACAGGTTTGTAATGATAAAACCTGTTTAAATATTTAGCATGTGCCTAAAGTGCCATCAACATGGTATTGGTGTAATTCTGGACCCAAAAATAAGTCGTGTTTTTAATGTTGAAAACGTACATTTAGGCTTGTATATATTTATTTCATAGTTTAACGCTTATAGTCTATAAGGTAAAACAAGATCATGAAAATGGTTGTTGATAATTTCAGTCACAACCTAATAGAAACCAAAGTGACATTTTGTGTCACCAAAACATATATTAATCTTACAAACCAAATTAAACGGGTAATAATTTAAATATCCCCAACGTTTTACCGGACATTACACAGCCACAAACCTGGAGCCAAAGCTGCAGAAAATACCAGAATTGCGCGTCTTTTTAAAATACTTTAAAGTGACAGAAAGATAATGTGAAAGCTTCTGATTTTCTCCATATGGTCCTCAGTGGGAGTGAGTGAGCTAGCTGCCAGTCAGGAAGTCACTGAGCTTGTTTGCCTCTCTTGCCTTCAGAGGGAAATCCATTGTTATGGAACAGTGAGCAAGCAAAATGGACACAGCAGACTTAATTAAACATTATCTGACTGAATGGCGGGGGGACATGGTCGTGTTGTTGTTTACAGTCCTCTCAGTGATGACTTTGGTTTATCAGCAAAGTGTTGTTTGCCGAGTGTGACGCATGCTGTGTTTCCAATGTGTCATGAACTTATTACTTTTCTTTACTTTATTGTCTACGGCAGGTTTTCAAAACTTCTTCACTTCCTTATCAAATTTGCTTTTGGTGGGTTCTTTTTTTAATGGAGGACCCTATCTTTCATCCCACTGTGTGATAAACTGTAGCATCATTCTGAACAAATGCTTCATCGGTGTTAACTTGTTAGAAACAAAATCATAAGTTTGCTTTGATTTGAATGTCTAATTTTCAGAGACAGTTTACAGTGGCATCAGGAACAAACTCCTTAAATCAATTAAAATGTTTTTATTCCTGGAAAGTTCCTGGCTAGTAGAAAGGGTGAGCATTGATCTTGGAAAATATTTTGAATCTAGACATCTAACACATTACAAATGTATCCACCAACACATGCAAATTGTTTTAGTTGTGGCAGCTAGAAAGGAGAACCTACTTGAAAAGTGTGTACATTTGTGATGTGCGTTCGATTACAGTGTCGCAAGGCAACTGCAAATCACTCATTACGACCCCAAAGACCCTAGACCTGATGTGAAAGTCTGGCTGTGTGTCTATGCTGACCCAGAACTAACACTGCCAAATGCCCAGCAGATCTATATCACACCCGCCACTTCAATATTTTGTTAATATACATCTGCTATTATCCTTACGTGAAACGCAAAGTGTACCAAGATTTTGACGGCAACTCTTTCAACTTTCAAACCAACTTGTCTCGTCTACTTTAGTGTTTTCCAATATGTCTACGATTTACTTTCAACAACCGCTCCAGATACTGTAGCAGGTAAACATGTTGCTGAAAGCTCTCTGACCTACATATACACTGAACAGAGTGATAGCAATAGCGGTGCATACCAAACAAGCAGGAGAATTTGAACTTTTCAATTTGAGAAAAACATGTCCTCCTAAAGCATTGCCCTATGATGTAGTATTTGTTCAGCAATGGATTTTATCCAATGTGATTGTTAAATGTCAACTCAAACTAAATCCAGTAAAAATGTGCTCTTTGACTCAAAGGGACTGACATCAAAACTTGACAGTAGCGGAGGCGGCCATGATTTAAGCGCTGGCGCGAGGCAGAGGGAAGTCACTGTGCCTCCTGCTGTGCCGGCAGCTGCACCTGTCCAGCAGCCGGACACAACAGGCACACGTTCTGGCAATGTAACATGGGGAGGCTGAGTTTAAACCCTGGCTGAAAGTAGGGCTGCTCGATTATGGCAAAAATCATAATCTCGATTATTTGGGTCAATAATTGTAATTGCGATTATTAAATGCGATTATTCATTGACTTTGAAAACATCCATTTATTGGAGAGAAAACAAATTGAACAGTATGTTTTTAACAGTTGATTACCCTGAACTTTAAGTATAATTGAACTGAAAAACCAACACAAAAAAAAGTAATAATAATAATAGAAAAATAATCGTTTTATTTCGATTACGTTGTTTTCGTAATCGTTGCAAGCCATAATCGTAATCGCAATTAAAATACGATTAAAATACGATTAATTGTGCAGCCCTAGCTGAAAGTACAGAGGGACTTGGTTATTTTCTGCCATGCAAGCTGGCTTACCTGTCTAACATCATGACATTAGATACTTTAATCATGTTCACTGATTGACGCACAAAGAACAGGAGTAATAGTTGCATCATTGAACTCCTACTTGTGTTAAACACAGCGAGTGTTTAATGACGATGGTGCCAAGTCGTGAGCGTCTTGTCATTAGTCATGGCAAAAAAGGTCAGTGACCAGCATAACTAAGTCATAGTTTTTGTTAACAAAGTTAGCATTGACTCCTACGTTCAGCTACTAAAAGTGTGGATTAACGTCATTGACAGATTATGTTGGTTTGAATGGAATAACGTAACAGAGTCCTAAAACATTAATCCACTGATGTTTGCTGTTGACTTTCTAGATATTGGAAACCTATAAAAATGATTAACCCCCTACACGGTTTCATACTCTGAAGTTGCATACAATACACCCAGGCAAGTGTGTGATATATTTTAACTCACCATCATACGTTCCAATTTCCAAAAGGGTCCCACTCTTCTCCAACTCCAGGAAATCCTCTACTGAGAGGAAGTTGTAGTCCACGCCAGGAACTTCTCTGTCACGTGGGCCGCGGGTTGTACCTGAACAACAAACCAGAGACAGGGTCGGAGTTAGCCAAATAGAATGAATATCCAGCAATACGGAGGAGGGTGACAGTTGGAGTGGGCGTGTAAAAAATCACTGAAGCACGGCTTTTATCTTAGAAGTCACTCCCTTTTCCTGACACATATTTATTTCAATACATCATCGGAAAACTGGTTTAGCAGCCATTTATCCTTACACATACAACATTTCAGGGATATTGTATTTAAAATGCTATATAAATGAGCAATTTTAATAGTGGTAAAAGTAACGTTATTGTTTGCTATGATTGTCCTTCACACTGGGGGAAGAGTGTGAGGTATCGTAGTAGCAAGTGGGATCCTGCCATATGTGATGGAAAAAAGGGAGTGACTGTGTGTGTGTGTGTGTGTGTGTGTGTGTGTGTGTGTGTGTGTGTCGTTTGGCATGTAGCCTGTGAGATCTAGCACCATCTTAAATGACTGCTGACAGTTGGCCGGTGTTGTGTCAACGGTAAACAGCTTTACAGCTAAGACAATAGTGAGATTACACCACTGCTAAATTAACTGACGATTGAAGTCATGATGCCTTTTTCTCTACTTCCTTTGCTCTGTTCAATCATTTAATGTTTGCCTCACCAGTGCACATTTCCACACTATTGACTGACAGGGGCTGCACAATATATACATGTATTTTATTTATTTTGTAATCATGCTTGCAATGCCAACTTGCACACATCGCACATACAGTGAGGGCTTATTTTAGTTCGTTGAAAGGAAGTCTCACTAGGAACTGTTGATTATTTTGTCTTCATTTCAGTGTTCACATTTTTTTTTTCAATTGATGTTGCAATTTGTTGTTTTTTAATGAAAGCAACAGCAAAAACGAATTGTGCATACATAGCTGTGTATTCATTGTTATAATAATAGGACTATCACGATATTCAACAATGTTATAGCATATTTTCCTCATATTGTGCAGCCTTTTTGTGTCCGACTACAAAAAGAAAATAATTCAGTCGTTGGCTTGAAAAACACAATAAACGCAAGCATCAACGGCTCATGGCAAATAATCTTTCTCATCTCATTCTGACAGACATGTGTTTCCCGACATCAGAGGGCTTTCCCTTCTTTGCTACCTTCCGTTGCCTTCCCTCTCCTGATTTATCCGTCTTATCTCCCAATCACTCCGTCTCCTGTGGGTTGGTAGGCAATAAGATGGTAAAAATAGATGTGTGGGGATAAGGGGGAGAGGCTCCTACTGCAGCCACGCTCAGTGACAGCGGTAATAAATCACACATGTGTAGGTCCTTACTCTATGCAAGCAGAAAAGAACATGTAGAAACAAACACACAGAAACACAGAATCTCTCACACAAAATAGTCTCCAGTTCAATGGATCAGACCAATCCTCCAACTTTTACAATCACACACTTCTTTTATGGTATCTCTGCTAAAAGCTACTGAACGCGGATTAAGAAAATGTCATTTCTTCCTGTTCATCACTAGCATTCAAACTTTACTTCCACTATTTGTGAGCAGACACTCATTCAGTGGGAGGACATTGACCTATAGTCAATCAAATCCCACCCTGAAGTCTTTCAAACAAATGGTGCGCTCATTCCCAGGCACCGAGCCTTTTACAGAATGTCAACCTTGGAGAGTCCTCAGCCGACAGTCAGTTTGCTTCCCACACAAAAGTGGCCATTGATTGCACTCCAATTAGACACTGCTGCTCTTAGAAAGCTAAACAGGAAGTGGAATTGTGACCTGTGTTTCAAAAAGCGATGGAAAAGCATTGGCTCATACCCAGGTGTGAGAAACGGTCATCGCTATAGGCCTCATTAATTCAATACCAAGCCAAAACAAAAGCTCCATTGACCAAGCTGTGAGTGAGAAATAAAAGCAGGTTGGGAATCGTGCAAAGACACTTCTGCCTACAGTCGGGAATGGAGCAACACCACTACTAAAATGCAGAGGAAGACAGAGGAGTGAGACTTCCAAAGCTAAGTGTTAGCATAATCCAGCTACTGGCACACACAATGAAAAGCCTTGAAGATTTGCTGTGAGGGTGTTCGTCTAAAGCTGGCTGGCTCACGGCTTAACGGCTTCAACATCTTCACCAGCTGAGATTGGTGGGTGGGCGTAGTGTGATAAAAAAAATCATCATTAGCAATTCAGGAGGATGATCATGGAAACGAGAGTTGCTAGTCGTACTGTGAGCAGGGAGCTTAGAGTCACTACTGCAGCAGCAAAATACATTCACACGCCCAAAAACAAACAGCACATGTACCACCAGCCTGTTACTGTATAGGACACAAGAATAAATGCACCATGACTGTATGTTCTTTAAAAAAAAAAAAAGAGCAACAAAGGAAATAAGTCATTTCTGTGTCTTCATGCATCGTGCCACTGGGTCTCTGCTGTTGCCAGGGACAACAGAGGAAGGATAGAGAGAGTGAGAGGGATGTGGGGAAGCTATGAGGGGAAGTGTTTCCTCCAGTGATGATGCAGTCCTTTACATGGTCACAACACCCTTTTCAATTCCATGACAGAAATATAAAGCACCAGAGGCATGACTCGCAGGCCTGGTCCGTACGAGGAAGCATAAATGATGCATGCACGGGAAAAATGAGAGTGGGAAAAGGCTTCAAGAACGGAGAGAGTGAGAAAAACATTTAGAGTGATCAGGATTTCATGGACTGCATTAATCTTGACAGTGGTCTAAATAAGTTAGTATTCTGATCAATCTGTTTATAGCTTGCTTTCAGGGCTGAGCATTAAAGGCATTGCTTATTAAGCAGCGACTTCATTGATTACTGTGAGTTTACATTAAGAGTTCAACCTTAAATCACATCTTTCTTTTGTGTTGCCATAGTAGTATATCCTTTAGGCAAATAATCTACAAACTCTGATAGACCCCATTTACACGCAAACGCAAACGAAACGAATACGATATCAAAAAAGTCTTCTGTTCACACAAGACCGCTCGGGAGTGCTGGAGACGCTGTAGTACATATACTGGGCCTGGAAGTGGCGCTGTACTTTCGCCACAAAATACACCAAAAGCAGCGAAGAAGACCCCCGAGCATGGTTACCATGGTTGCCCTTCTGTTTATGCCCCGCGGTGGATTTAGCAAAATGTAGTTCATGTAATTCTCCATGTCCACTTGTTGCTGATGGTTGTGGTAGAGGAGCTGTAGATTTTGCACTAACATCTGTATCTACAGCAGTGAGCAGCAGAGGTGGGGCTATGGCTTCATCGTTATCAGGCAAATGATCTTATAGGACATACACACGGAGCCGTTTGGCCCCCCAGAGCGTTCCGTTTGCAGATCTATCCACCTTGGGACCCGTTATCGTTTGCGGGGTCCGTTTCCGCGTTTCCGTTACGGCCTCGTGTGGACGAACGGGCTATACGAAAGAGAAAAGTAGCGGATACAACCGTTTGCGTTCTCGTGTAAACAGCACCTTAAACACCGTCGCTCAAAACACTCAAATGTCATTCCTGTGGGGTTTTATACAGTATAGGTTTGTGTGCAAATAAATGGCCTGCAAAGGCTAAAATCCCAAAGTTCACACCAGAGCGAGTTTGCCTGAATGTCTCAATTGTAGTCTTTTGCACCAAATGTCATGCCACTTCAAACAGCAGGTATTTATTGTAAGGCTTAATGTTTTACTACATCATGATATATTGTGCAGGTGTTCATGTTATTTCGTCCGCCCCCTATGCGGCACAGAAACATATTCAAAGCTTAACTTTTCTGTGAATGCAGTTAAACATTTTAACCAGCCAGCCAATTAGTCTATATAGCATTATTTGATTCTCTATAGATGTCAAAACTCTACTGCCGAGTTAAATTAAGCATATCGTAAAGATGTCAGGACTGTAGCATACTAATCAGGCATATTTGAACCCTTAAGATTTAAATCTGCAGTGAAACAGCAGCCTTTAATTAAGAGTACAGGCTAAAGGCCAGAATTCTGTTGGGCTGAGCCCTCGAAACAGCAGATACAAATGTCTGTTTGTGAGAAAAAACAAGACCGAGACACAGTGATAAAATATGAATTCTTATTGGGTGAGGGTTAGATACAAGAATGTATAGCCTGTTAAAATGTCCAAAGATAAAATTAAACTGCTTTTTAATGGGATTTCAGTATAGTTTTCTTAATGTAAATAATAATTGTCTGTCCCCCTGCCTATATTTATGTATATTCCTTTCCTTCACACAGATGAGGGCGCAGTGCGGAGTCACCTCTCCCCTCTGGCATTCAGCAGCGGGTTGACTCCGACACTATTAACAGTCCCAGAGCGGTGACATGGCTCGTGTGTGTGTGTGAATGGCAAACATGCTTTGGCTTGTAATGGTATAAAAAGGGTTAGGAAGGAAACACCTCATGTTATAATCAACAGCTGTTCCACCCACTGTCATGCAGCACACACACACTCAATGGAGAGGAGGTGCATGGCCACCAAATGGCACGGTCTGGGGCTAAACAGGGGCTGTGGGTGGAGGGTAATCACTTAATGGAGCTTTATTCACACACACACACACACACACACACACACACACACACACACACACACACACACACACACACACACACACACACACACACACACACCACACACACACACACACACACACACACACACACACACACACACACACACACACACACACACACACACACACACACACACACACACACACACACACACACACACCACACACACACACACACACACACACACACACACACACACACACACACACACACACACACACACACACACACACACACACACAGAATTGTCCTGTCTATGTTGTGAACCACCTTTGGTGATCAGATTAGCAACCCACAATGAGATTTAGGGCTCAGCACCTCTGCACTGTATCTACAGTTACACAAGCCCTGATGACTATAAGAAGGGATTCCAGTTTAGCCATACCACAAAAACAGAATCAGTGTTACCACTTCTACCTTTATAATAATTATTGTTTTACTTTTATTCTGAAT